TCTTTATTATTATTATTATTTTATTATTACAGTATTATTGTTATTATTATTAATTTTATTATTATATTTTATTATTATTATTATTATATTATTATTATTATTATTATTTTATTTTGGTGTATTTTTATTAAAATTTTTATTTACTATGAATAATTATTATTATTATTAATTATTATTAGGCTATCCCTTTTGATATATGATATATATATATATATATATATATATATATATATATATATATATATACAGGTTGTACCTCTCTAGTCCGGCATTCTGTGGTCCGGAAACTCCCGTGGTCCGGAACGATTTTAGTTTGTCCAATAGGTAGATAGGCAGCTTTTTTCTTTTTTTTTCTTTTTTTTATTTCTCTGAATTATTATTATTATTACAGGAGTATTAAATTTTTGCCCCTCAGGCCCCAATGTGGGTCAGTGACCTATGCCCGGGTGGGCTAATCCCCTTAAAAAAAAAAGCCGCGGGAAATTAAGGTTTGTTTACATCCGGCAGTTCGGCTGCTCTCTCTCTCTCTCTGCTTGTCTATACAGAGTACAACATTTAACCCTTCAATATATATGAGCAGTAAATAAGTGTTGCTTTCATATTCTTATGTAGAGTAATGACGATATGTTTTCACATGTGCGCACTTACATACGCGCAGTCTCACTTTTTTTTTACCATTAATGGTTAGCTACTTATATTGTTCCATTTATTAACATTAAATAACATTACAGGTACTTCAAACAACCATATTAATTTTTTTACATTAATTTTACTACAGCTAAAATCAGGGTCTTATTTTCTTCAGTTTTATATGTAGAACCAATCAGTCACTGGTTTTGTAAGTTTTAACATAAACAATGCCAGCAGCCGTCTCGTCTCTAATATTCCACGTATTATTAATAAATTGTATTGTTAATTTTGCACACACAAACATTAATTCAATAAAAACAAATTCAGAAACATAAATTAAAATATATATGAACAGTAAATAAATGTTGCTTTCATATTCTTATGTAAAGTAATGACGATATGTTTTCACGTGTGCGCATGCGCACTTACATACGCGCTCTCTTTTTTCTTTACCATGATCGTTAGCTACTTCTATTGTTCCATTTATTAACATTAAATAACATTACTTAAAACAACCATATTAATTTTACTACAGCTACAGCCAAGGTCTTATTTTCTTCAGTTTTATATGTAGAACCAGTCAGTCACTGGTTTTGTAATCAACGAAAACAATTGTTACGAGTTAGGGATTTAGAATATAGTTAAAAGTCTACCCAGATCCCAACAGGCAACAACAATAAAAAAACAAAGACAATCGGACTATAAAAGGTTAGACAAAGGATGCGAGTTTTTGTTGTGTATAATAAAGTACCATAAATTCCTTAACAAAAATATTCAGCTTTCTATAATTTACCCTTAACCATACTTAACCTAAACATACGCAACATTGGCTTTACAGTATATACATATTTATACAACATACAACAAACAGAAGCAAGTGGAGGTGGGAGGCAATATAAGATTACAAAATACTCAAGTGCAGTGCTGAGATGGCTGACGAGTAAGGCTGAGTATTGAAGAAGATGGTAGGTAGTCACTGTGCCGTAGGTTTCCAGGATAGGTGATCCTAGTGTGGTCACTTCCCAGAGTGAACTGAACTCTCCTCGATCTGGAGCTGATGAGGAAGACTTGGAGGTGACGCAACAACCAGGATATGGAGAAGGGAAACCCCGGAGTGGTAACTAAGACTAGTCATACTCGGGTTTCGTCCCTAGATGGCGTTGCTCGTGGTGCTGGGTAGGTAGATCATGACAATAGATGGCGTGGTTCGTAGTGCTGGGTAAGTAGATCATGACAATTGATGGCGTGGTTCGTAACACAATGCTATGTCATTTCCTCGTGTGTTTTAATATTCTACGTATTATTAATGAATTGTATTGCTCATTTTGCACACATAAACATTAATTCAATTAAAAAGACATTCAGTAATAAACAAAAATGAATCTTTTGTACATAAGAGAAATGAAGCTGTTTACACAATTATGCACGTCGTCTGCACGTTGGCGGGCCGTTCAAACCCGTCGAAATTCAAGTTTCCGCCGTCAAAATTTTGATTGATTTATTTTTTTGTGTTCCAATAAAATACGTTAAGAATTAAAAACTCGCGAAATTTGAGAAGCTACTATACGACATTTAACCCTTCAATATGTCTTCAAAGAGATCATGATGCAGAGAAAGTGGTGCTAGTGCTTCCAAGCATAAGCACAAGTCACTATCTATCCAGGAAAAGGGTGAATTTCCATGGTCCGGCACCGGTCAGGTCCCGAGGTTGCCGAACTAGAGAGGTACAACCTGTACAATATCATTGAATGAGGTGGAGGGCTGGTTGGTTTGTACATGAGTTTATCATCATGTACAGTATTTCACATATTTTCAGTCACCTTACTATAACATAATTACACAAATGGCACATACAATACACATGCAAGCACTTGCCACCATGCTCTCAACACTGGAAATGTGAGTAGACAAAGTCATTCTTCATTTGTGAAATAATATCAACTGTTTCCTGCTGTTCATTGGCCCTTAGTGTAATCCTGACTGCTTAGTTGCATTGTTTCTAACACATGCATGGACTGTACAGTACTATAGTATATGATGGACAGGATAAACTGACCAAAATTTTACAACAATAATCAACATTAAAAGAATATACTATGAGTCACATCAAAAATTACTTCAACAGAAGAAAAATACATGGTACTGTACTTGGTAATGATTTTAAAAGTGATCCACTGTCCTTAAAACCAATCAATAGTGATAATAAAATTAAACTATTGCAAAATAATTCTTACATCCTAAACTCTTAGCAATAGAACCATGTAAAATCTGTAATCAATTCCATTTTTAGTGATTTCAGATACATTTGAAATCCAATATATATACTGTACATCCTAGAGTGCTAAGAGAGTTGTGCAACGAGCTTGCCGAGCCCCTGAAAATCCTCCTATGTAAATGCCTGGATGAACAAAAGGGCCCCAGTGAATGGAAAGTGGTATATGTGAGTCCTATCTTCAAGAAAGGCGATCGTCACTCAACGAACAACTATAGACCGGTGAGCCTGACCAGCATAATATGTAAAGTACTTGAGAGTATTATCAGAGATGCTGCGATGGAACATCTACTATGAAACAACCTTGTAAAGGATTGCCAACACGGTTTTATGCAAGGGCGCTCCTGCTTAACACAAATGCTCAAGGTATTGGATATTTGGACCCATTTTCTGGAACGGGGTGGTAATATCGACAATATTTATCTAGATTTTGCCAAGGCTTTCGACAGTGTACCCCACGAAAGGCTGAAGATCAAACTGGAAGGGTACGGAATTCAGGGAAATGTCCTGGCGTGGATAGAAGAGTTTTTACATGACCACAAGCAGTGTGTGGTGAATAATGGCACAAAATCATCATCCGTACCTGTCATAAGCGAGGTACCACAGGGCAGTGTATTGGGCCCGCTGTTGTTTGTTTGTTTCATAAATGACATGCCTGACGTTGTATACTCCTCCATACAAATGTTTGCCGATGATGCCAAGTTATTTCGGGAAATCAAGAACCAAGCGGACTGTGAAGAGCTGCAAAAGGACCTCTGTGGGCTCCAAGAATGGTCGAAGAAATGGCTGCTGAGATTCAATGTCACGAAGTGTAAGAGGATGCACCTGGGGTGTACCAACGGTAAGGAGGCGTATCATATGTCCCAACGGGATGAAGAAACTGCACTATTTGAGACTGATTGTGAGAAGGACCTAGGTGTGTATGTTGACAATGAGCTGAAGTTCTCGGTCCATTGCGAAAAGAAGGTAAATCAGGCAAATAAATTATTGGGTCTTATAAGAAGGTCGTTGAGATATCTAGACGGTCCGTCCCTCGTAACGAACTTCAAGAGTGAAGTGCTTCCCCATCTGGAGTACTGTCACCCTGTCTGGTCCCTGAGATATGCTAGGGACTGTCAGTTGGTTGAAAATGTTCAAAGGAGGGCCACCAGACTGGTGCCTGCACTTCAGCATCTCAGCTACCCTGAGAGATTGGAGTGCCTGATCTTGCCTAGCTTATACTACAGATGGGCAAGGGGTGACCTAATTGCGGTGTATAAGCATCTCAAGGGGGACTACTCAGTCGAGTGTCCTTACTTGGTGCTGGCGGACGCTCGCCCCACAAGGGGTCACAGGTCAAGATTGAAGAAGCCGCAAGTCCAGAAAACTGTGAGGGCAAACTTTTTCGGAGTGAGAGTTGTGAACTCTTGGAACAATCTACCAGAAAGTTTTGTGACAGCACCAAGTGTGAGCTCTTTCAAGACCAGACTTGACCAACACTGGAGCAGGTTCAGGTACGTTCAGAAGCCGGTGCATGCCCAGTACTTGCCAACAGTGAGTAACAGAGACGTGACCAATCGCCCAAGCGGCTAACGAGCCAATCATTTGGTGAAATGGATAAAAGAAAAAGAAAAGTAACAGAGCCGATCAGTGGTGAAGAGGATAAAAGTAAAAGTAAAAAATGGTAGCTGGTCATTTCAACCTGGTCAACCAAACCCGTCAACTCAACCCTGTTAACAACTCCTGTCAACTCACCCCCAGTAAACTCAACTTCCTGTCAATTCAATCCTGTTTAAAACTCTTGTCAACTCAACTGAGGTAAACTCAAGCTCCAGTAAACTCAACTCCATTAACAGCTTCTGTCAACTTAACCATAAATTCAACTAGCTTCTCAATGTGCTAGTGTGCCTTATGAATAATGAAAATATTATATACTGTACAGTACTGTGAGTAATTTCAAAATATAAAAGAAAGATTAAGAGAGTAGGGGTATATTTTGTGTGGGCGATGGAGTGTATCTAAGAGTAGCACACGGTTTGCCAACACACCATAACTCGCTGGACTACTGTACACCTCACCGCGTACATTTAAATCACACAAATGTTCCAACACAAAAATGAAAGTTTAGAAAATTTTATTCAGTTCTTATACAAAGGAATGTTTGCATGTAAGGAAATGGAGTGAAAAAAATACAAAATTACGTCTGGGTGCGTAGCTTGGGAGAGGAGGTGGCAGGTAGTGGAGGGAGGGAGGGAGTGCTGGCTGGACTGAGAAGACAACTCACCTCCCATTCTCGTCAACTGTAATCCCTTTGGCATGTCTTTATACAATTTCACCATAATTCCCATACAGCATTATTTACCAGTAAGTTCATTTGGTGTCGAATTAATAAAACACTACCGTTAAATAATAAAATTTCCAGAAAAAATCCCACACTCAACCTTAAATAAGTTATAGCGCCATATTAAATTCCGGCGACTTTGTTTATATCACACAAACAGCTACTCGCCCACACCATCACCAAGTCACCACAACATCTGTCTTCAGCACTTCATAAATAATATTGTAGTGTGTTTATCAGCACTTAATAAATAATATTGTAGTTTTATGAACCTGCATATACCCTGGTTTATTTATTGAACAGTTGTCTTATTGTACAAGTAACCAAATCGAGCCAGGAATGTACTGCATCTCCATATCAAATACTATACTCCCCTGTACAGTATTATGATTCATTGCTATTTATTTTAGATCAATAAAATATTATCTCCCAAGCACATTTTTTACACCAGAAGGAAAACACATATGTTTTTGTGTTGAATATACCTGTGTTTATGTCTATAAATTCTGAACAGCCAGGACAATAATTTGTAACACTCTCTAACCGCACACTTCTCCGTGTGTGAAGAGACCCTTGGCAGCATTTTTCAACATTTTCATGCTCCAATGCCACCTTCCTAAGTTTTGGCATGGGGTTATCATATGATTCCTTCCTCTTTATTCCAGCTTTGTTTTGAGAAATTTCTTTATTTACATTTTCCAATGTTTCACTCACCTTCACAGCCTTATCAGAACCATTACAAACATTCACAGATTGTATATCATGATGCATATCATCTGTCTGATATCTAATGGGACCTTCTAGTGAAATAGCACTATTCTGGGTTATCATTTTTTCAGGGTTTTTCTTATATACTTTACCCTCACAAGTTTCCGACTTTACATTCTGTTTATGCTCGTGTGACATCTCACCACCTGAATAATATAAGGTCATATTAGCCGTTAATTTTTGACAGCCTTTCTTCTCTAAACTACTTCCATCTACAGTATTATTAGTCATTAAAGCATCCTTCTCCTCTACTGGTTTACTGTTTACAGTAGCAACTTTTTCCTGGACTGTTTTACTGGTATTAACTTTTTCCTGGACTGGTTTACTGGTAATAACTTTTTCCTGGACTGGTTTACTGGCATTAACTTTTTCTGGGACTGGTTTATTGTTTACAACAGCTAGTTTTTCCTGGACTGGTTTACTGTTTACAGTAGCAACTTTTTCCTGGACTGGTTTACTGGTCATAACTTTCTCCTGGACTGGTTTACTGCTTACAGTGGCAACTTTTTCCTGAACTGGTTTACTGCTTACAGTAGCAACTTTTTCCTGGACTGGTTTACTGGTAATAACTTTTTCCTGGACTGGTTTACTGGCAATAACTTTTTCCTGAACTGGTTTACTGTTAACAGCAGCAATTTTTTCCTGGACTGGTTTACTGTTTACAGTAGCAACATTTTCCTGGACTGGTTTACTGTTTACAGCAGCCAGTTTTTCTTGGACTGGTTTACTGGCAATAACTTTTTCCTGGACTGGTTCATTGTTCGTCACCTTTTGTTGCACTGGTTTACTGGATGGCACCTCTTTCTCTTCGGGTTGATTGACTTTCACTTTATTCTGTATTGGTGCTCTGGGTGGCACCTCTTTCTGTACTGGTTTACTGACCATATTCTCATTCTGTACTAGCTTACTGACTGTAACATTTTCTTGAACTGGTTCATTGACTATATTCTCTTTCTGTACTGGTTTACTGACTGTAACCTCTTCTTGTAGTGGTTTATTGACTGTAACCTCTTCTTGCACTGGTTTAGCTTTAGGCACTAAAAGATCTTTATGGCCACTATGATTATTGAGCAAAGACGGACTTCTGTACTGATCAATGACAATCATATCCCGAAGGCTATTACACGCATCAATGTGCTTTTGTGTAAAAACTTCTGATGGAACTACCACGTTGCATTTTATTTCAGTTAATGAAGATCTACTCATCAAACTTTTGTTTTTAAGTGAAGTGGATAGTTTCTTATCCTTCCCTTCTAATGCAACAAATAGCTCCTTTTCTTTTTTTAAGGTATACCACTTATAGCGTTTAACGTCATTTTGAGCCACTCTTCCGCGGTCAATCAAATGTTTTAGTTTTCTTGAAGATGTGAACAATTGCGAGCCCTGTGTAATGGTGTGCTTGGAATCTATCACACGTGTCCTCAATCCAAGAGAGGACTCAAAGTGCTTCATTTTTCTTTTACACTTGACTACATGCTTCTTAAAACTAGTTTTGTATAAGAAATATAATTTGCAACCATTACACAATGTAATATTCACTAGACCAACCTTATTCGTTTCTAATTCATCTGCGTCATTACTGGTTTTATGAAGTGCCTCCTCACTACTGTGATTCTTCTCAACTGAGCTTCCTAAACCAAAACAAAGTTTTTCACTAAGCACCTCAACAGAGTTTGGTGCACTCAACATCATCTTGCCAGAAATTTGAACAGATTTTGAATCTGATACAGTTTCTGAATTTGATACTGGAAGATCATGAAACTTTCCATCAAAATATTCTGAGCTCGCTGCAATGTTTTTTCTATTTTTTTCTGTAACGGAATCCCTCAGTTTTGAAACACATTCTTTAAGTAAAGATCTTACTATATCAGATTGACTACAATTATCAACTACATTTAAAATTTGTTTATTATCACTGCAGCTACCTGGCACTTTATAATCTTTGTCCAAATTTTTTTGTCCTTTTAACTCTCTTCTCTTGATTCTCTTCATCATATGATCATCCTTTAGATCTATTAATGTCACCTTTCCCTCTTCCCTAAGTTGCAGCAACATTGTATATGACACCATTTTCCATTTCATAAAATTAAATTCGTGTTTTTCTCTCTTGACATGAAGAAGAAGATGACCATGAGTATTAAAAGTCATAGAACACACAGCACACTTTTTTAAAATAACACAACTATACCTGTGCCTTAAAAAGTCTGCCTCATTTATAAAATACTTTGAACACATGCAACAATGCAATAAAAAGTACTCATAATTGTTTTCTTCAGCAACTTCAACATTCTTATTAGCTTTACTGTCACTGGAAGCATTATAATTTGGGTACTCAGAGGGAAAGTCATCCACAGCAGAACTATCAAGTTTGTCAAGGGATGTAGTCACACACTCTGTCTTACTCTTGTCCTCAGAATTCCTACTTGTTTCCAGGATTCTACAATTCAAGTTTTCACTGCTGTCCACATTTTGATCCTGAGGGCTACATTTTTGTGTATGTACATCACCATATATTTCGAGAAGTGAAGTACCAGCAGCTGGAAGAAACAAATGCAATTTAGAAGAAATGAGACCAACTCATCATAAAATGGGTCATATTACAAGCAAATTCTCAAGAAATAATTCAAAAGTGAAATATTTACCAAAGGTTTGAAAAGGAATCTGTTTAAGGTGTAATTTTTTTTTTAAATTTCCACTCAAGAAAATGCAAAAAATTTCCCTCTATCAACTTCTTAGCTTCTTTTCTTTCTTCTTCCTCCTCAAACCTCATCTTCTTTATTCTGGTACCAAAATTTTCTTACCTTCCTGGTGTACTTGATACAGGGAAAACAGACATTTTCAGTACAGTACTTAAAGGAGATATCAATCGCTGCCATCCACGACTCGTAACAAGGATATGCCCCAAAGGTCATATATCCATTAAATGCAATCCTACTGACAGAGTATATAAAGGCCACCTCTTGACACCAGTAACTCATTAACTGGTCACCCAAAATGGTCAGACAGTTCCCTGCCAGTTACTGTATTAGAGATGTTGCAGGAGCCACAATGTGTGTCCTGTGATCAAAATATGGCTAATCAAATGGAGTGTCAATGTGATGACCACTCCATTTCCCATCTGGTTCACTGAGTCATACCACAAGAAAGTACCTGGTATATCCAGGTCAGAGAGAAAATAAAAAATAATTTGAAAAGTTGAATCAGACAGTGCAACTAAACCCCAATGACTTGGCTGCATTACTAAATTATATGAACTACATTGGTAAGGGGGAGGAAAAACATAATTTAGATCCCAAGTACTTATGTCAAGAAAAACACGTTCATCCCACTAAGCCTCTTGGTGAATAAGTGAAACAACCCTAGGGGCATTGTGATTGTCTGGCAATATAATCAAATCCACCACCCCAAACTCTCGGAGGAAACGTCGCAAAAAAAAAAAAAAGAGATTGGATCTAACCATGAATCAGATGGCAGGCCCAGACCCCAGAAGCCTTTGTTGCCCATTAGGAAAAGATGCAATTTTCAAATATTGTATAGTACGTACATACAAGAAAGAAGGTGGCCTACTTACACATACCTAAGTGTGGCTTCGTTGGATTCTCCACAGCTTGGGACGATTTATCCTCATTTCCCTGAAAATATTAAATACAGGATTAAGATGTAGACAATTATATTGGTGGTGGGTCACAGCAACAGTTAAGGTGAGCTACGCAGGATACACACTTTCGTCAACGTAAAATTTTTAATATTTAATAATACTGTATAATAGATCAAATTCATGTCTTCCATTTGTATACAGGTATTATAGAGGAAATAGAAGATATAAGCCTATAATTGTTCTCAGTTTAAAATTACTTTTAATAGCAACAAATCATTTCCTCACTGAATTCTGACAAATTACCAGATTGAATTCTGACAAATTACCTGACCAGTGGTGGCTTGTGCTTAGGAGCTGCAGTCCCCCCACACTTATTGCCAGGCATATGATTCCATCAGACACACAGCAAAATAATACACTACTAACAAATACATCATAATAAAAAGTCATTACTGTATATATTATTTTCAGTATGTTACTAAGTGAGTTTTCATTAAAACCCGACCAATATTTAAGTTACTTTCATAGTTGCTGTACGATTCATGTCTGTTATTAATTGGCGCCACAACTGGAAACAATGAGCTGCAGTCGGTGCAGCTCAGTCTTGTGTTTACATTGCATGCGGAAAGGTGCGGTTAAGTCGTGCTTTCTTTAATTACCCTTTGACAATGGAAAATCAAGTGAAGCGAAGCAGAAGAGAAGAAAATTTAATATAGATAGATCAGCTGCTGCATATCTTGCACAGAATGCATACTAGCAAATTTTTTACATAAGTGAATTATGAGTAGAAGTAGGGTCCTGGCATAATTGCAAATTTGCATAGCGTTGCATGTAAAGCGAGGGTCAGGTACAGTTGGCTCCACTCCTGCGTTTATCACTTAGTGTTGCCTATTCTCTCTCTCCCTGAGGTCTGAACCCCGAACTCTGAAGCGTGAATTCGAAGCATTCGTTAGTGAGCAGGAGGGAGGGGGGAAGGGTGTATTGGGGTAAGTGTCTTTCTGTGGGGAAGAGATTGGGTACTAGTATAGGGGTGAGGATAGGAAATGTATATCAGTTGGGAGAGATTACAGTGCAGGATAATGCTTTGAAAAAACTATACTGACAGGGTTTCCTCTGATGAGTGTAATTGTCTAGTGCTGGCCAGATGAAAATACTAAAGTTACAATAGGATGAGAGATGGATGAATTCAAGTTTTAAGTAAGGTGTTCCTTTGCAAAAGAGTGCATTTTTTAGCAAATAGATTATGGATATGTTTGTATAACTTGTAAAAGCAGCAAAGTTTTGTTTAATCCCTTGAACTTCCCCAGCTGAATAAAATCGTCTGGTGGTAGCCAGAATAAAATAGATAAGAAGACATCGTAGTCAAGGGATTAATTAGTAATCAAAACAATCAGGAAGTGAGCACCACATATTTATTGTAATACAAACTTGATGTGAACAAAAATAGTTCAGTCAGCAGCTGTCCGGTATAGAATCAGCGAACCACATAGTTCAGTTGTGTCAAAACACTTAAGTTAAATGGGTGCTGTGCTGAAACCTGGATCACTCACAGAATAGCACAGTTCATGATTGACGTCACACAGTTGTATGCAGAGCTTCTGGACGACCATGTGGTAGTAGTGTGGAGGGCAATAGAGTGCTGTTTACCTGTTATCCTCGACAATAAATTCAAATAACCAATTCTACATTTAATATATTTTTCATTAAAGGATGAATAACAAAATAATGTACACTAAAATATAACAGCTGTCAGCATATAAACTATAGATTTTTATTGAGATAATTGTTCTCTGTTCCAACGTTACTGCATTGCTGCCGCGCTGTGCCACGTCATCTCAAATTTATTTTTAGTAATATCGGCGAATGATGAACTATGTTATATCAGTCAAAATAACAGTACTTACTGGTTGATGAGATTCATTAATGCTCTTGTGGAGCCGTTTGCGTGACCTGCAAAAATGTAAGAAAACAAAATTAAAGCTCATACTGTACTATTTTTATATAGAGAACTTTAAAAACAACAGAGTTTGTTACATGTACATTATAAAAATATTTCGAAATTTAAAAACACAAATTACCGATTCTGAAATCCTATTTCAAGTAAAACCCTTAACCAATGGATACAGTACAGTACAGTACAGTACAGTACAATATTGTAAAAGCTTTGCAGGACTTTCTTGAGCTAGCCCCTGGGTCCGAAGCGATTTGAAATGAAAACTATGACTCCTGTTGTGTCAGTAGGGCTGGTATATCTGATTGTAAGATGTTAACTAACACCAGTACAGTATCTGATTTATACTGAGTAATAAAATACAGAAACAATATAGGGTTAAGGCTAGCTTTAGTTACACCACAGAACTTCATACTGTATTTCTATTTGGTAATTTCTGAGAACAGCACTACCATCAGTAGTTGTTCAATTTTGTTAATTTTTTCCACAAATGTTCTTATCACTATAGTAAGTATTTTAAGAGGCAAAACCTTTTCATTTTAAATATAAGTACTTTATTTATTTTTTTAGTTTTTCTCTATCTACGATCATAAATCACCTGTAATGGGCAGGGCATGAAGGATGAGGGAAACTGCGAGGTAAAACACAGTGAAAACTGATTATATGACACTAAAATGAGGTTTCTACGTGCTTTGAGCATGAGGAAATAATATTAACTGTAAATAATCCTCAGGAAAATCTGTCAAGTCACCACATTCCATCCGTTTGTTTACAGCCGACCTGCTCGGACCAAGCATACTCTCACATCCATAAAAAAACATAAAATTACACCATGATGCTTCAACAGAGTTTCTTTCATTGGTATCTGATATCAAAATAAGGGTACAATATTAGTTTCGGTCATCCCTGTATTCAGATTCCAAACTAATGTAATCTAACCTAACCTAGCAACAGAAACCATGAACTATATCTAACCTAACCAGGGAGGCTTTGCTCCCTCAGAGCCTCCCTAAGATTTCCTGGATGACCGAAACTAAAATAATACTAAAATAAGTACTTCTTTCAGTTTAATATGGCGAGCTGTCAGGTCAGGTTCTATTAGGTTCTAGTAAATGTTGTCTCTTTTAAAATACTTACTATATATAATTAGAACATCTGTGGAACAAATGAACGAAATTGAACAACTCCTTCTAGTGGTAATGCTGTTTTCAGACGTTACCGCAAAATTTGCCGTTTCAGCCCCAACTACTGTTCGACCATAAATTTTTTTTTTTTCCATGGCGTAAACATATTGAGGTATTATTTTATTTTAGGACATAGCGCGCCCGAAAGTTATAAACTACTGAAACATTTAGTTCTCGCTATTCTGAGAATTTTGAACCCCCATATATACATGGCGGAAAAGGATAGTAGTGACACAATTGAATTTAATTTATTTTACGTAGTTTTAGTCTTCGTCTGTGAGATGTTAACGGAGCATCACGCATGCGCAATATTAACTGACATCATCCAGTCGTGACCAATGATGTATCGATATCATCAAGCGAATTTTTTACAAACGATCATATTTGATTTTTTCAAAGGAAGCAGCCTGGGTAATTTCACTGACCAGTCTCACAATGGCCGTGGTGAAGGTTGGTTGTCATTTGTGCTCCAACAATTATTTTAAGTATTGCTGAGTTTTACGAGAGACAATAATTCTATCTAATTCTAACATATCCCTGGTCCTTCCACTTCTAAACAAGGTATTGTACTTTCGGACATGGTGTGCCCCAAAGTTTTTTAACTATTAAAAAATTTAGGTTAGTTTAAGCTAGGCCTACCAGAGGTCCACGGGTAGAGCCCTCCACTAGGGGTTAGGTTAGGCTTTGTTGGGTTAGATGACTCGTTTTCATTTCTCCCCCTACCCAAAACCCCAGATTCTCCCCCATTATTGTTGGGAGACGAGCAATTTCCGCCATAAATGAAGGTTAGATTCGTTTAAAACACACCAAAATACACTGGAAAAACATATTAGTCAACCCCTGAGGACTCATGTACTAAGGTAAAAATTTACCCATATCGAAAACCATCAGAAAAGAAAACCCTAACCTAACTGGTGAGCTCCACAGTCGTTCGATGTTCTATGTGTGTACAACCATGTACAAACATGCAAAAATAAAATTTTACATATCTCTCTTAAACGTACAGTAATTTGCGCCAGAAACGTCACTGAGCAAAATGTCTTAGAATTGTTAAAACTACCGATTGCAACTATAAAATTCTGGATATTTATTTAGTGGCAGCAAGTGAAAGGTATGTTTTCATATACAATAAAATGTTAAATACTGTACATCTCTTACACGCAATTTGCGCCAGAAATATTGAAGTCTTAGAATTGTTAAAACTACCGATTGCAACAATAAAATTCCCGATATTCTTAGTGATAACAAGTGAAATAATACCCTGCTGCCCAGGTGGTAGTACCTCCCTAAAATTAAAGAGACAAACTTACCAAAACATTGTACATCACTTTATAATACGGAAGACATTTCTCACTAGTGTAAACACAAGTACATAACCAGGGTTGCCAACTCGGATTTTCAAATGTCGCTAGGCTGGTACCTAAAAGTAGCTAAATGTAGCTAAATCTTCCATGGAAAGTCGCTAGCTATTATTCCCCCCTTCAGTAATTTGATGCAAATAATATTTTCATAATGACGACTATAATGGACGGAGTATAAATAAAATGCATTATGTAAAAATAAAAATATTATTTTTTTTAAAGTTTAATGTGCACACTTACCTATTATTCAATAGTAATTGCATCCCAGTCCTCTTCGTAGTCGTCGGCAGTGTGAACAACTGTAGAGCTGGAAGCATGTGAAGTGCTTGGTTCAGGTTCTCTTGTAACTGTATGCCTCCACAGTCCCTATCTTTCTTAAAATATCACTAGGAAGTTCATAACTTGCACAACAGGTGTTCTGTCTTTTTAACCCATACTTTATTGTAAGAATTGCCTTTAATGTCGATAGTTTCATTTTGTTGCGCAATTTTGATTTCACAAAGTTCATATTACTAAATGTGCGCTCTACATCTGCGTTTGAATGCGGAAGAGATAAGGCAGCGAGTGCAATTTCAGCCAGATCATGGTAAGGGTTTTCACCTGTCGCATCTCTGTAATTTGCCACTTCTGACCACAATTTTAGGGTGTTAGATGCATGGACGGGCTGACATCAAGTGATCAGGAAATAGACGTGTCCCTCCTTCTGTACCACGACCCGTTCAAATGTATTAAACTTTTCTTATTATTTATTGTCCCTGTAACCCCGTTGCTATATATTATGGCTCGAAATAAGGAAAACTGAGTTTTCATGGACAGTCCAAAAGTATCCAGAAAGTCGCTAGATTTCTGTGGATATCTCTAGATTTGAGACAAGTCGCAAATCGCTCTAAAATGTCGCTAGAAAAAAACAAAAAGCTCTAGATCTAGCTACAAAGTCGCTAAGTTGGCAACTCTGTAACATAACTTTCTCAAGCAGCTGCATAGTTGCCAGCTAAAAATTTCACGTGGTGCTAAATTTGCTCCCCAAAAGCGCTAATCTTATAAAATAAGCTAATAAAAAGTACAAAGAATTAATTATGGTAAATTATACAAATATTTCCGATACAAATAATTTTTTACTACTTACCATTATTCCAGATTTGCTAATTCCCAATCTGCAATCTCCTCCTCGATGTCTTTATCTTGTCCTAGGTCAATTTCAGATTGTTGCAGTTCATGTGAGAATCCTGGTTGTGGCTTTTCAACATTTCCTTAGGCAGTTTATAATCATAACAACAATTTCCATGCTTTCTTAGTCCACACTTGATAGTTAATATTGCATTTAAACTTTTGATGCTAAGTCTGTTTCGAAGTTTTGACTTGGCAATATTCATATGACTAATGATGTGGTCCACATCAGCGTTGGAATGAGCTAATGTTAGCACTGTCAAAACTAACTCAAAGAGGTTGTAGTGGATTCCTCCCCTACAAACGCTTTTGTCGCGGAGTAGCCGACCCCGCGAATTCCCCAGTGTATGCCTCGTGGTCTAGGTCAATCAGCGCCGCCTTACATGACGGAGGTCAAATATTAAGCCACGCTTACCTCCGCAATATAAGATCTCACCTCGTGGTGACCTACCACTTTCTACCTGCAGTCAGTCTTCAAGAAACACCTCTTCCTCTACCCCTGCCATTAGGGAGTTCCCCAAACCTGAAACGGCGAAGAAACTCCGAGAATTCCTGGGTTTAGTCAACTACTACCACTGCTTCATTGCCAACGCTGCCACCGTCCTAGTCCCCTTCTACGACCTTCTCAAGAGACTCCCAAAGACGTCTCACAAGCCTCTCGTGTGGACTCAAGAGGCTGTTACTGCATTCACCGCTATCAAACTGCATATCACACGCCTTACCCTCCTGGTCCACCCCGCACCTAACGCCCGGACCACTCTCACAACAGACGCTTCTTCTACTGCAGTGAGCGCCGTCTTACGGCAGGAGATCAACGGAATTCTCATGCCAGTTGCATTCTTCTCACAATGGCCTCAACCAGCACACCTCAAGTACAGTGCCTTTGATCGTGAACTCCTGGCCATATACCTGGTTGTCAAGCATTTCCAGCACTTCCTCGAGGCGCGTCAGTTCACCATCTTCACTGATCACAAGCCCCTCATCCACGCCTTTGCTTCAGCATCCCAGTCACATACGCCTCGTGTCCTGCGCCACTTGGCTTACATCTCGGAGTTCTCCAGCGACGTCCAACACATTAATGGCAACCACAACGAGATCGCCGATGCCCTCTCTCTTCGTATATCCAACATTCTTCCCTCATCTCCACCCATTGATTACGGGCAGCTCGCCGCGGCTCAAGAGAACGACGAAGACCTGGCAGCATACAAGACATCTCCCTCAGGCCTCACACTCCAAGAACTCCCTGTTCACAGCACGAACATCAAATTTTGGTGCGACGTATCCTGTGGGCAGCCTAGACCGTTCGTGCCTCACGTCCACCGCCGCGCTGTTTTCGACCGCATCCATGGTCTCAGCCACCCGAGTGTGCGGGCCTCCAAGCGCCTCCTCACGCAAGGTGTCGTCTGGCCCGGCATCAAGACCGATACTAAGAAATGGGCTGCCCAGTGCCTGGCCTGCCAATCCTCCAAAAAACATCGTCACATACGGGCCCCCTTAGAAACCTTCCCTATACCCAAAGGACGTTTTCAATTAGTACACTTCGACATCGTAGGACCTCCTCCATCATCCTACGGTAGCACTTACATCTTCACCTGCATCGACCGTTTCACCAGGTGGACAGAAGCTATCCCCATGCCCAATGCTACAGCAGAGTCTGCCGTCCGCGCCTTCATGTCCTGTTGGGTTTCCCGTTTCGGCCCCCCTGCAACCATCATCACTGACCGAGGAGCCCAGTTTGAGTCACAACTCTGGCAGAGCCTCCTACAGTTCCTCGGTACTTCCAGGCAACGCACTACCGCATACCACCCTCAATCCAACGGCATGGTAGAGCGGTGAACGGCAGCTGAAGGACGCACTCAAGGCACAGCACGACCCTTACAGCTGGATGGATGCGCTGCGATTAGTGCTCCTCGGCATCCGTGCATCACACAAGGAGGACATGGACTGTAGCCCAGCAGATATCACCCTAGGTGAGCCCCTTCGCCTACCCGGAGATTTCTCACTCCCTCCTGACCTCAATCAACCCACTCTGCCGTTCGTCACTACTAACTCCAAAATCTACGACAAGCAGTTTCTGCATTCAGAACTACTGCTCCACGCCAGCCTCCTCGGCGCCCTGAACATATCCCTCCTGCACTACTCACTGCCGAGTATGTTTTCGTCAGGCATGATGCTCACCGCAACCCACTACAACGCCCCTACGATGGACCCTTCCAGGTTGTTACCCGTTCAGCGAAGTTCCTGATGATTATCCGGAATGGCAGACACGACACCGTCAGCATAGACCGAGTCAAGTCGGTCACCTTACCCGTTGGGTCCCCAGCCCAGCAGCACCCCTAACAACTACGCCTGCACCAGTCTACCCGCAGTTACCACCTACAGCAACACCCCACCCGCGACATTTCTGGGCAACCTCTTTCCACCCTCAGGTACCCCCTGCTTCTGTCGTGGACCCTCCTCCTGACGTGGACCCTGCTGCCGTCGTGGACCCTGTTGCTGTTATGGACCCTCCTCCTGACGTGGACCCTGCTGCCGTCGTGGACCCTGTTGCTGTTATGGACCCTCCTCCTGACGTGGCCCCTGATCCAGTCAGACCCCGCCCACGACATTTCTGGGCACCCTCTTTCCACCCTCAGTACCCCCTGCTCCTGTCCTGCACCCTGCTTTTGTCGTGGACCCTGCTTTTGTCGTGAACCCTGTTGCTGTCATGGACCCTCCTCCTGACGTGGCCCCTGCCCCTGACCTAGTCTACCCAGCCAGTGACGCTGTCCCTGCCGCGACAGGAGCACAACAACCATTGCCTGTACAACCTCCTCTAATCCAAAACCCTCCTTCTCTCCCTGATTCTCCCACAGGTTTTGTGTCACTAGACGGAGTTGTCACCTCAGCAGCCGAGTCGTACGTACACCTTCCTGGTATGTATCACTTGTGGGACGCAACCAAGCCAACATCCAGTCTCCCGCCGCGTCCGGAGGGAGTATTGTAGTGGACCTACTCCCCAGTGCGAACGCACACATAGCAACCCCAGGATCACCGGGCACCTCTGGCGTTCACCTCTGTGATTGGTTCTCGCGTGTAACGTGCACCTCTAATCCTGATGTTCTAGAATCATATAAATATGGGACCGGCTGGCCAGGGAGACCATTCTACTCTGACTTACTGGACGAGCAAGATCTCTCTACAGCGCCTCACCAACCAGCTCCCTCAAAAAGCTCCTCGCCCAACAGGACCTCTGAGCAAGCTACTCCTCACCTAGTAACTCCTTAGCACTGTACAACAATATATATATATACAGAAAACGCATAGTGAGTTTCTATTCTACCTCATTCCTGAGTGTGAGATATCTACATGTACGTACGTTTGTGTGCCCATACAAAGAGAGAATTGACAACTGGCCACATACCGTACACTACAATATCACTCATGACGTTACATCAACTTCTATGACGTCACGATTACCTTTTGCACGCAGCCAATAGGTAGCGCTATTATTAAGGTATCTGGCAACTATATCGTACATGCATTTCATATATTTTAGCTGCAACTTTCCTATCTTGAGTAGAGTATCTTTGCCGCAGCCCATAATGTTTGTAAACAAAGTCTGGATGTAGAGCACCTGTCACCTGTGCTTATAATTATGGCCAGTTACCACGTTATTTATCTCTGGAAAATTACATATCCAGGGATGTAAGCTTATTATAACTCTAGTAACTCAATGTTTATAGTTAAATAAAGCTAGTGAATTTTGTTCTCTGATATCTGGATCCCACACCACGATGTTTCGGTCATGCATGGAATCTAAGGAATTCGGTTAGGTTAGATATACTCACAGATGATTTTGTAGTGGACGTCTCCCCTACAACTGCGTAGCCGCATTCCACCTGCTACGTCTTCCCTAGCAACCAAACGAGCGGCCCAGGGGGGGGGGGGCATCACCAGATGCCACAGTATCCTAGCAACCAGCCGCTACCGTCTTCCCTAGCAACGGAGTCGAGAAACTGGCATATTAAAGTGAAAGAACTTGCTATGATATGCGGTAATTTTAAATTTTTGTACACTTGACAGAAATCACCTGAACCGAGTGGCTCTTAAACATACACCGAGTGTACAGCATCGATCGGGGTGCCTTAGCGATTTATCACCACGCAAGACAAAGTAGTGCTGTACTAACACTGGAATAAGCCCTAAAGGAATAATCTCGATCAGAATAGAAACTTCTAAAAGTAAACTGCTTGAAGACGAGTAAATCCATATACTGTATTCTCAAGGTCTTACAGGTGTGGAGTTTTAGGGATTTTGTGATTTAATGTCTCCTGAGTATTTCATAAAAAATAAAATAAAAAATCCAGGAGGTTGATTTGTTTTGAAAAGAGGTGGATGGACAAAATGTGTATATAGTATTTGCATCGCCCCTGCATTTGAAAATACATAATTAAAATACAGTACAGTACTGGAAATAACTGTTTATTTGTTTGCCTACTAGGTGGAGAATTTACATTTTCTTTTAAAATTAAACATGAGACATCATTGCAATAAACTATATGTATTTATGTATTACATCTGTTTTGTCAGATACAGTTTGCAATTCCAATTTAACAGGACACTTCAACCAGTAGGAAAGAATCTCTTCACAATAACCAATAAGGAAGTACATCTTTCGAGCAGCTATTTTCTGTTGCACGATGCCAGCAATACGGATCGTGTTGTGTTGCCTTTTGATAACAACCTGTGGGCGAAAGATGAATAATTTATCAAAATACATCTACTGTAGTTACATTCTTCTTCAAAACTTTTGACCTATATGGAATAACTGAAATTACAGTACATCTACCGGTACAGTACAGTATATGAAACAAAATTTCCACTACAGATGCCCTGTTGCAGCATAGCAAGTTTATGGGGCAATAAATTATGACAATTATTGAATTTGTCTGAGATTTTGTTTTGATAAATTCATATCACCTGTACTGTACAAAGTTTGGTTAAATATAATGCTACTTGGAGTTCTTGTGTTATAATTCCCATTTGCATTTTGGGAGAAATGCATTTCTATGCCCCCACCTCCTGGGACAGTATGGTTGCATTCACACCAAATGAGTTGAGTCAAGTCATGTTGAGTCATGACTACAAGATTTGCCATTAAAGTGCACTTAATTTTGTATGTAATTTTGCAGAAGCTGTTCACACTAGGAGAGTCGAGTTGAGTCATGCCGAGTTGAGTCAATTCACGAATACTGCCAGATCCAATTTTTTGCCAGTCATCGAGAGTCAGTTGTGACTGGTGAAAGAAAGCCTCATCATGCAGCTGGAGGATATGATAAATCTTGTTCGGGAGCACCCTACTCTCTATGATTTTAGTGATTGGAGACACCGAGATTGTGAAGTGATCTCAGCACTGTGGAAAAAGGTTGCTAATGAAGTGAATTCTACAGATACTATTATATATTGAAATAATAGCCTAGGATATTATTAGTAAATAATAGCCAAATAATTCACATGAATTACTCACTCTTTACTAACCATACATTTACATACGTAAGATCAAACAAAATTAATTGTAGATATCCTGATCAAATAATGCAGCCGAATTCACAAGAAAACATTTAATTTTGCGAGAATATGTCTTCATACCTCTTGACATTTGACAGGGTACTGACAAATGTGACTCTTCTTGAACTCTTTCTGTGTGAACGAAAATGAATCAATTTGACTCGACTCGTTTGGTGTGAGTGCTGCCTAAGCCATTTTCACTATGCACAGCTTTGAATCATGAGAATAAAAGGGGCAATGCACATCACCTTTTTCATAACAGTGACAATGCAAGAAAAGCATTTAAGTAGCAAACATCATATATATATATATATATATATATATATATATATATATATATATATATATATATATATATATATATATATATATATATATATATATATATATATATATATATATATATATATATATATATATATATATATATATATATATATATATATATATATATATATATATATATATATATATATATATAATATATATATATATATATATATATATATATATATATATATATATATATATATATATATATATATATATATATATATATATATATATATATATATATATATATATACAGGGTGTCCCATAAATTTCCATACATAGGAAAAATAAATTTTATATGAAAATCCATTTTTATTTATATAATATGCTCTACATGACTACCATTCTGTTGAAAACACTCTTCAATGCGTGTCCTCCACTGCTGAAGAACACGTTCAAGCACAGCTGGAGTTATGCTTGTAATGGCGTTGGTGATACGTTGTATGGAAACTTATGGGACACCCTGTGTATATATATATATAATATATATATATATATATATATATATATATATATATATATATATATATATATATATATATATATATATATATATATATATATATATATATATATATATATATATAAACTCTGAGCTCACCTCTGAAACAAACAAGTTATGCCAAGTGCCTGTCATGAACTTGCGAATAAAGATGTCTTCCACAACCGTTTCTGGTTCCCGCTGTCCCTCATACAAGCTTGCTGTAAACATATAAAAAATTACAATAAAATACATGATTAAAGTAAGGAGTACAGTATCACATACAGTGACCCCTCGTTTAACGAACACCTCGGTTAACGTAATTTCGATTAACGAACTGCCTTCCATAAGGATCTTCAATTTGGTTAACGAAAAAAAATTCGGTTAACGAAGTTCTTACGAACCGACCTCAACATGTTTTCGCTTGCACTGACCGGGCAACCAGCTTTAGTATCAGTCCGCCAATACATTAATCGGTTCTAGGGCTTAAATTCCTTACTATTTTAGTAAATATCAGAAGTTTATACTATTCAATAATTTTAAAAGTTTAATATTCAATTTTTTAGTCATTTTAACAATTATTGAACATAACTGAAGGTAAAGTGACTAGTTAATAATGACATCCAGCCTCTTAACACAGCAAACAGGAGTTAGTCTCTCTCTGTTTTCACTGGAGGTAACATCTTGCTTGAGACTCTCTTCAACTAAAGCTTTTTTTCTGTGTTTCCAAGCAAATTATTGGTCATTTTGAAATATATTTTACATATTGACAATATATAATGCAGTGCAGTGTTGATTTAAAGAAAATAATCTTGAATTACACCAAGAGAGCTAAAATTTTATGGGTGAAATGGCGCCATGGGGTGACTTCTCTTCCACCCCAATGCCTTCTCTTTTTCCTTCTCCTCCACCCCCATTCTAAATCCCATCACCATCATCATCATCATCATCATCATCATCATCATCATCCAGGAGCCTTCTACATACACACCTCAAAATAAGTGAACTTTTCTACCATTTTTGTTGAATTTAGGAAATTTCGGTGAGCTGGAACCAATTACCCAAAAACCCATTGAAACAATGGTTTCAGTTAACGAACTTTTCGGTTAACGAACAACCTTCTGGAACGGATTGAGTTCGTTAACGGAGGGGTCACTGTACTTTACTTGTCCATTATACAAATATTATAGTACAGTATAGTAGGGTTGTAGAGTACACATATCCATAGTATGCAACCCTACTTCTACGTGTTTGACCCCCTGAACCACCCTTGCACTTGGGTCTCGCTCTCGCACAAATATCTCTTGCTAGTTCAGGGTGTTTATCACTTGTCTGTGCTCGTTTGAGAAAAAACTCATACAATACCCTAATGTTGCTTAGATATAAAGAAAATATAATATAAAACTATAAAATAAGAAAAATGAAGAGCACGGGTTTGTATGTGTGGGATGCGAACATATACATTGAGGAAGTGAGTTGTAACTTGAGGCCAGCCGCACTCTTCCTCCCCCTATGTGATGCCACGGCATACACATATAAGAGAAAGAGAGAGAGAGACTTTCACAATCATTCTAGGAACACTGTAAGAAAAGTCATCATCATCATAACAATAATACCAGTAGTAATAATAATAACACTCTTACTTGTGTTCCAGCTATTCCAAGACTTCCTATGTGCAATCTGGCAGGGTTGATTGGCCATCTCATAGGTCAGGGGCTTTGACCTGTTCCTTGTGATCTTGTAGCGTCCAGATTGCACCTTACCTACCACTTGTGTTGTGTGAAAACTTTGTGACAACACCCCAAGAAGAGTGCCTTGACTGAAGCTTGAACTGGTACACAATTTCCATCCCTTGAGAAACAAATAGAGAACAAAGTTAAATACACTGTACTCATGAGATGGTTACTGTAATTATTCCAGCTAACAGGGATATCTTATATATGAATGGGGTTCAACTTCAAATTTACAGTATTTTATTTACCTAGCAGTCACTCACTCCCCTTACCCACTCCTGTTGCCAGGTGTTTGGGAGCCACCACAAGCACAAGGAGCACAGTTGTTAAGAGAGCAGAACAGCACACGCACGAAACGGACAAGCGTTTAACCCAGACTGTCACTGAGGCGGAGTGAGCACACATGGCTCACCCACCTGGGTCAAGAGAGACACCTTGCGGGATGCCGTGAAAATACCACCAACTTTAAAACTATCTGCAGACATTCTTGGGTACATCCAGTGTCATTCCCGAATAATGTAATTGAAGGTCGCGAATTAAAAATCCGTGAATTGTAAGGGTATGCTGTATCACTTTTATGATCATTTTTGACTAACATGTTAAGTTTCTGAGAGCAAAAGTTTGTCAAACACTAAATTTTTTTTCAAAGAGTTTTAATTATTTTAGCAGATAACTATCATTTTAGATTAGAGTACAGTACTTAGATTAGGTTTGATAGGGTAGTTTTTTCACTTTATGAATGATAAATTATGGAAAGAAGCAGTATCTGGTGCTTCAGGAATGTTAACAGCTGGCAGGAGTTTCTGAGATGCACCGTTAATAATGTACTGCTCTTAAAATCAAACTAAACTAACCAAAATACAGCACTAAAGTTATCTTGTATTTTAATCTTCTAATATAAACAAATAAATCCTTTCTAAATGTTTGAACAAGAAACCAATGTGGTGGACATACAAAAGGTTGGTGCCCTCACCTCCCAGATGTAAATGCCCTCTCCAGTAATTGTAAAAGTGATATTATGCAATAGATATTCCTCATGCACATTTTGGCCCTTTAAAGAGGTAAGAAACCATTTATTTATGGTGATTTGGGCAAAGACTCCCTCTCCACTTCCTTGAAGGCTAAACTGTTCCTTCATAGAAATATTTTTTCTAAGATGAGAAATTAGATTGTTAGATTTTATAGGTTTTGTTAGGCAGGTTTAATCTATTCAACCATAAATCATTTTGTAGCAACAGACAGTACCTCAAAACTATCTGAATCATTCCTTTCATAGACATATCTTTTTTATGATAACAAAGACAATGGTTTGGTTAAGTTGAGCTTGGATAATTTCAGTTTGTTTAGGATGTGTGAGAGGTTTGAATAATAGACCAGGTTCTTTGGAGACTTTACTATTGCAGCATCATACAGTGACTGGCAATCCGGCGCTGCCACAGACAAACTCCCGCCTCCATACATGGGAAAACATATCGTACGATGATACTCCATCTCAGTCTGGTGTTAGCCATCTGCTCCAGGATTACCAAATTTATATTCAGTTGAAAGTTTGCTGCACTTCAGGAACCATGTCGTGTCATGGCTGTTCTATCAATCTGTTCCAGCCTAACCTATTCTAAACTAAGAGTTATCCTCTATTGTATTATCATCTTAGAAAAAAATTAAATGAAAGGAACCGCCCAGCCGTCAGGGAAGTGGAGAGGTAGTCATTGTTGTGTCAAGGGTTGGAGGAAGCATCCAAAGAATTGTGTTCAGAAAAAAAAATCATAAGAATTATATTATGCAAAACATATTGCTCATGCTCTTTTTTACTTCATGATGGAAGTAGCCATATACAGGGCCATCCTGCAACTAACTGAAAAAGCCAATATACAGCACCATCCTGCAACTAACTCAAAAGTTTAGCAACGCAGTACCGAAACAACGTTAAGCGGGCCGACATTAAGCGAGGACTTACTGTAATACCATAATTACCCTAATCTAACCTAAATTTAAAATCCTAAAATTCTCTGGATGACCGAAACGATAATATTACCATTTTTTCATCTACCCCGGTATATGTAAACTTCCAAAAGATGGGGCATGGATCATCTTGGACTCACTGTCAGCTTTGGGGTATTTTTTACAATAGTTCACACAACATTCCTACCCAAATCTTTCATCAGATTAAAAAAAGACGTCTAATTTTAAGAAAATTTTCTAATATTACATTATCGTCGGAAACATATAATAACGCAGATAAAGCATGCCAAATCTTTCTCTATTTAATTCCATCAAACTTCAGCCATTATCGCCTACCTGACCTCCTACTCAGCGTGTTCCCTTCATAAATCGCCATGCGCATGCATTCACGTACACGTCCAATCAAAAGCGTTCCTTTTTTTTCCACCAATTAAAATTAATTTTGGTTTCTGCTTTTAGCATTTGCGGTAGTTTTGGCCCAATCAGATTCGATTGTGATTTTGGGTCTCCTGCTTCAAAATTCAAATTCATTTTCGACCATGGAAGTCTGCAATGGGTGTAACTTCAATTATATGGAGTTAATTGAGGGTTTAAAAAAAAAAAAAAAAAACGAACAAACAATAGCATTTTTTAGATCTCAAGGTGTTCTCCACCTCTCAAGCCTACTCGAATTTCGGATTCTAATTCGGAATAAGGCAAGAAACAACAGTGATTCCCTCATATAGTGAGAGTCTGCTTACGTAAAAACACTGTGAGGGTTAGGTTAGGTCAGGTTAGGTAAGGTTACGTCAACCAAAAAAGGTTAGGTTGATATTTTCTAGTGTGTTTTGCTGTATTTTATCTTCACTTGTCCATGATTATTGTTGGAAAACGTTTGTTTCTCTCCCTCACCCAAAACCCCGGTTCCCAACAGGCAATTTACGACGGAAATCAAGGTCAGAATCAATCAAAATACACAAAAATATAGTAGAGAAACATAGGTTTGAGTTTCTAACAGAGTCGGTCCAACGAATTACCCAAAAGTACCCAAAAGTCTATTAAATCAGGGTAAAATCTTAATGAATATATGTTTTACATCAATAAAACCTGATTAATAATGTTTTCATTGAAATGTAGTCAAAATAATGAAATAATAAACAGCGAAAAACGCTAAAGTCCAAAATGGAGATATAATTACCGATGTTTCTGTTACTTTGGGGTATTTGACATAGCCGTAGGATTTACTCTTCGTTAGGTTAGGTTAGCACAGTGCATCACCATGGCTCTGAGTTATCTCCCTGTTCACGAACTCTTTGGAATTTAGCGTTCGCCAATACTGAAAGTTTTTCGCTGTTTATTATTTCATCTTACAAATTATTTTTACAAAATTACACTAAAAATATTATTAGACATGTTTTGTGTATGTATAACAGATATTCGTTAAGATTTTACCCTGATTTAATACACTTTCGGGTACTTTTGGGTAATTCGTTGGACCCAACAGAGTTGTGTGAACTACTACAAATTTACCGTTTTTTTTCTTCTCTACCAGATTTGCATAATATATATAACTAAACAAACACTTTTCCTTTCATTACTCCACCTACATTTACTGTACTCACCGAGGCAATATTTGTGTATAGAATCGCAGACATTTCTCTGGTGTTTACAATAATATGACTAATGCTAGAAGAATACCACGACCATGAACGTTAAAATATATTTACTATTTTTCGAAAACATAAAACTTGAGTTAACTTGCATATGCTAACATAACCTTAAAATATATTTGTAATTTTGAGTACTTTAAATTAGAATACCCTTTTTTCGTGTTTTCGTTAAAAGAAAAGAAAAATGAGATTTTGGTCGAAAATTTCCTAACATTAATCATATTGCAGGTGGTAGGGCCCTTAAACTTCCTGAAACAATAATTTAATACATTCAGTAAAGTCATCATACAGGTTTATAATTGGTTTGGCATGTAGTCTCGTTGAATCCATGACAAAACCCCAACGGACAAAAAACCCGTGGACAAAACCCCAATGGACAAAACCCCAACCCATTATATGTAAAGTGGACAAAACCCCAGTCACGTATACAAAAGTTCATTATATTTAATTTTTCATTATTTCATAGATCAAAGCTTGTCATTTGTCAACACTTGGGAACTGTAAAACACCTTAGTGTCATGACCCCTCATCAACAACAAAAGATCAAAGTAGTGATCACCTTATCATATGCCAACACCTGGGGATTTTTTTAACAACACATTTTGTTATATGCCGACACCTGAGAACTGTTTAACAGTTTTCTACCTAACCTAACCAAACATAAAAGTGTTCTATTTTATATTTTATATATGAGACTGGGATTTTGTCCACTTTTCATATAATGGGTTGGGGTTTTGTCCACTGGGGTTTTGTCCGTAGACCAGTCTCGTTCAAGATTCTTCGGTCATTGCTCGAGACAGCTATCAATTCAAGCCCAACAAGTAAATTAAGCAATGGGGAACTAAGTAACCAATCACCGATCAATTTTACATTTATTCTTAATTTTTATGACACTGTAGTGGAATTCTCCCCTACAAACGCTGTTTGTCGCTGCCTAGCCGACCCCACCAATTCTCCAGTGTATGCCTCGTGGTCTAGGTCAACCAGCGCCGCCATACACCACGGAGCGGGGGTCAACTGCTAAGCCACGCCTACCCCCGCTATTTAAGACCTGACCTCGTGGTGATCTGCCTCTCCTTCTACCTACACCAACCAGCCAGCAACACCTCCTCCTCCTCCGCCTGCCTGGTGGTCCTCTCTCCCGCCGGCGAGCATGGCGACCCACAAGCTGTCCTTCTCTGAGCGTCCTCACCAACCAGCTCTCTCTACATCACGCTTGTAACCATGCTGCCTTCCCAGCACCAAGCTGCATTGTACATCCAATACAACATGTATATAGAGAGCACATTGTGAGTTTCCTTTCTCCATCCCATCCTGAGTGTGAACCAAACAATCTCATACCCCACAACACCCAAGCGCTAACGAGCCGATGAGTGGTGAAGAGGATAAAAGTTGAGTTGCCAGCTATGTCCAGCAGTGTTTGAAGAATCTTGAATGAGACTGTACATAAACTATACAGGCACACAATTCAGCATTGTATCTCCCATTTAACTGTGTAAATCGATCCTATAGAGAACGATATGTATGGTTTACTTTCATAAATCAGCGAATGTGATACAGCCATTAAAGATGATTTTTAGGATCATATGAAGATCTTCCCCCCCAAAGTATCCAACTGAAGATCCTCCCCCCCAGGCTAGATCATATGAAGATCCTCCCCCCCAAGTAGGTTTGGGGGGAGGTTAGGTTTGGTTAGGTTAGGGAGGGGGGGTGGATCTTCAGATGAGCGCGACTGGGCTTGATCATATGAAGATCCTCCCCCCCAAGTAGGTTTGGGGGGGAGGATCTTCATATGATCCGATTTTTATATAATCGGAGTGCTTCTTTCAGTATTATTATCTTTTCGGTCATGCAGTGAATTTTAGGATTTTAAGTATAGGTTAGGTTGAAATTATGTTTTTCCTGTGGTTTTTTATGTGTTTTGAATGATTCTTACCTACTTCTAAAAAGGTGCAAGACCGAAACGATAATTTTACCCCGGTTTTTTTTTAATTTTCGCCACTTAACAGTTTGTCTATTCTAAGCATTATTTTTCATTTTGGCGGTGTTTTGTTGTTCAATTTCCCCAAGAAAATATCCTTCCACATTTTCACATTACACACAGGTTTAAGCTATCAAGTAAAGACAAGACACATCAACAAGTTGAAAATTGAAGGGCATATAATTTCTGACCCTGATTCTGGTTAAGATTTAGTAGGGTACAGACACAGAAAAAAAAAAAAAAAAAAAAAAAAAAAAAAAAAAAAAATATATATATATATATATATATATATATATATATATATATATATATATATATATATATATATATATATATATATATATATATATATATATATATAAAGATAAAAGCAAAAAAAATTTTTTTTTGTATTTTTATTGCATTTTGGCAGAAATTTCTAGTTTTCGATTTTTGGGGGATTATTGTTACACACAAAAAAACTGACAATTTGGACAGGTTTTAAGTCCGCGATGTATATGCATATACCTTGCATTAACATTCTTAGCCAATGTACTGTACCAAGCATGTTTTTTTCAAGCGGTTCAATTTCATTCCTAGAATATTTTTCTTTTGTAATTTTAAAATAGATATCATATTTCCACTTAGCTTATCACAAAAAATATATTAAAACTTAAGATGCTATTTGTTAAGGTTATGCATTAATGGCTGGGTGCCAAACATCAACTCATCAACAGATGTTTTGGGAAGCCTTGAGTTTAAGTCATTATCCAACTTTTAACATGAGAAATAGATCAGCCTGTGATTTAAAGAACCATAATACAGGACTGTATTGTGATGATATGAGGATAAATAAATGTGCTGTATGTGACCAAAATATTTATGTATGTACATAAAAAATATCAAGATAAAAACAAGTACAGTACTGTGCCATAATATATGGGAGTGCTTTTCTTACTGAAATCTCCTATACCTAGGAACCCCCACAAGTCAAAGTGGAGAAAAAACAAATAAAATTTTCAAGCTGTATACTATAATACTCTTCAGACACAACCAAAGCAAACCATGAAAGTCATTTCCTCCTTGAGCAGAATACTGTTCAGGTTGACAATCCTTTTTCCGAAATCCTTGGGGCCAGAGGCATTTCGGATTTCGGAATTTTTCGGTTTTCAGATTTTTTTTTTATTAGCCCACCCAGGCATAGATCACCGACCCACATTGGGGCCTGGGGGAGGGGGGGGGGCGAAAATATAATAAAAATTATAATAATAATTACTATAATAATTCATAGGTCTAGGCCGTATTTCTCACTTTTGATCTTTTTTTTCATTCTTGTATTTCTTTATTATTATTATTTTATTATTACAGTATTATTGTTATTATTATTGTTATTATTATTATTATTATTATTATTATTATTATTATCATTATTATTTTATTTTGGTGTATTTTTATTAAAATTTTTATTTACTATGAATAATTATTATAACTATTATTACTATACATTTTCAGCCCCCCCCCCAGGCCCTGATGTGGATCAGTGATCTATGCCTGGGTGTGCTAATCCGTTAAAAAAAAAGAAAAAAAAACTTTCGGTTTTCGGAATTTCTGATAAAGGTTTGTCAACCTGTAGTTGGTTGTGTGGGACTGGCCTATAAGCCTAATTTAAGTGAGGTCAGGCCAATTACTTTAACTGTGCTAATGTTGGAGCTCCATCCCAAGAACAGACCTGTGTTCTCCACACTGTATTCACTTGGAAATCTTTGATGTCTGAATCCATTTGTTGCTATAAATTATTTAAAGAAACAATTTATGTTTCATATTTTTTTTCTATGTAATCATACAAATGTACAATACTGCACAGTATTTATAATGTTCCAATGTAAGTAGGCTCTAGCTAAAAGGACTGGAGAATGCAGACATTGAGAAAACTAGATTTAAAGTTCCTGGTACTTTTAGGTCAGGGTGCAAGTCATTCACCCCCTTGTGGTGTTGAACCCAGACTGCCCTTCCATAAGGTAATGTAACAAAGTTAAACAGTATTTTATAAAAAAATTTCAGGTGTTACATGGTAATTTCATGTTAGACAGTAGTTGTGTACTATTTATCATTAGTTAGGTAGTTTTGTTTTTGTTTGTGAACCCATTTCATGTTTTTGGGGTATGATATTGGAGTATTTTTGTCATTGGAGAGTTGAACCTTATTTTTCCCATTTTTTTCTGTTTGTGATATGAAAATTCACCTAGCGAATGTTTTTTTTTTTTTTAAACTTAGCCCATTCGCATCTCAAGGGATACCTGCACTGTACTTATTTTTATAATGGAACACCAGGGAAAAATTTGCTCCAATTTATGAAAAATCAATTTATTAGAAGGTTTTCCGGAACAGAACTCTTTTTTTTAAATTGGGGAATGCCTGTACCACAATAAATTCTTTAAAACCATAAAAAAGAATTGTAATATTTATAAGGCAGTACAGTACAGTATTCTTCCTTTTTTACTGTAACTACTTTAGTTCATAAATATCTTCATCAAATGAAAGTTCTCCTAGTAATTGACTATAATAACAGAGTGGCATATTTTACAATTATTTTAACATTGCTGAAGTGAAGATTTGTTGCAAAATTTGTGGAAGCTTTGTTAAATCTAGACAAACAAAAGAACGTCCAGCAGGAAGAGCCTCAGTTAACCTGTTTGCTTGGTCACCTAAAGATCCAATAAATATTGCATAGGTATTGACCGTACTTTCTGCAGTAAGGGCTTTAGTCAACTCGCTTGGTCTGATGCCATACCGGTCTAGGTTTGCATCGGATAAGAGGATTACGAAGCTTTCATCTGACTCCTCAGTTGCCATGTGCCTCACAGCATCCACTGCAGCTTCTAAAGTATGGTCACCACTGAGACAAAATTGTGAATGTGCTTGCATTGTTTTCAAGACATCTAGACGTTCTTTGTTGTTACGGGGCACACTGTTACAGTCCACTAATGGTACTGCAGCTTCTTCACCAGAATGTCCATATATATCATACTTAAACTTATTCTCAAACCCTTCAAATGCTTCCATTACCATGAGTGTAGCTTCAAGTTCACGTTCTAGTCGACCATCATGACCATTGAAACGATACATTGATCCAGACACATCAACAACTAAACGAAGACGCTTGGGATGACTTTGTGGGGCACCAACCTCTGGTTCCTCTTCACGCCTTTGCCGATATATATTTCGCTCACCTGCCAAACCTTCAATTAATTTAGTATCATCCAATTCACCTGTGGTGCGGTGCCGAAGCCACTGACGTTCCTTCCCTTTAGCTTGAAGAGAGTTTAATATCCCACGCAATGCACGGATTTGTTGTTCTACACCGCTAGCAAGCTTTTCATACAGAGATGCATCATACTCACTCATTCTAATTTCTCTCAAGCGTTCTTTGAAGGCTTTCTGTGCCATTTCACGTGCAGCACGTCTCACTTCCTCTGGCACGGCATCCTTTTCAGCTTGAGATAGCTGATGAACATCATGACCAGCATCTAAACGATATGGACCTCCTTTACCCCCAAGACCAGCTGTATCACGTCCACCAGTGCCACCGGCCCAGGTATTTCCTCCAACGTGTGGAGCATTGGAAGGATCTTCCTTTCCATGTTTGGGTTCAGTGGTATCCTCACCACTGAAACGATCAAACTCTAGTCTAAGGTGTCCAGTGTCCTCACCAATCATTTTGCGCCACTCTGTAAGGGCTTTTTGAAGACCAACACTCCCTGTTTGCCAAAGTCGTACAACTCCAGCAGAGTCAACAGTAGCTATTCCCTGACCACTGGTTGCTGCAAGGAACAGTGGAGATGTTCGAGATGACACAGTCCAAGCCCAATAAGGGGACGACTGAGAAGCACGAGGAACAGGAACGTAACTCAAGCTATGGTTCACTAAATCTGTTATCTCCAGAAACAAACCATCTCCTGAAGGTTGAGTGTCATATTCAAAAGCATTCTTGGGAGCTTGGTCAACAGCTCTTACAACCTGACCAGCATCTTTTAGAAGAACGGTAAAACTAGTTGGGTCACTGGTTGTCGGAGAGGTCTTCAGAGAAAGATTTTCTCGTTCCCAGACATAGATCTCATTCTCACTGGCATCAAGTTCTGGGAAACCTACAGCAACAGCAGCCAAGGCATCGGGAGGTACCATGAGACGACTGGGAGCACTAATCTGCTGCCCGAGTGCTGATGACAAAACAAAATCACTCAGGGCAGGTGGAGCAATGCAAGACACATTCAAAGAGCTAGAATCTTGTTCATTTGGTGTTTGGATTACTGGATGAAGCACAAAATTATTAATATTATCTTTCAGTAACCACTTCCCACCATCTTTATCAACTGCTAGCAACTGATAGGTTCCATCTAGCAAATGGAGAGAAGACATTATGATTGGTAAAGTAACTGTGTGGAGGGTCTCATTAAGGAGATTTATGAATAATAATCGTCCTCCACCAACTTCCCAGAGTGTTAATTGCCATTGTTCTAATTTGTTCTTACACATACGGAAAAACGTCTGATTTCCCCCCCCTGACCCCAGCCTCTTCAGCAATGTCTCAGCTGCAGCTTCAAACATGGAGTTGAGCTGCACGCAAGTCACTGAACCTGTGTCCATGTCTACAGTCATGAGAGTGTTTGAAGTCTCTTCATGGATAAGTAGATTTTTGTTTGGTAAGTGTGACATTCGCAGCCTTGGCTGGTAAGCAGAACGATATCGTGGCAGCACATCCTGGAGAAGTACCTGTTTCATTGGGTGTTTCCTTCCTCTGGGAACAAAGGAATATACAGCAGCAGGTGCCACAGTGGCTACATGCACACAGTCATCAAGAGGATCTTGTGTGCCTCCAGGACTGACAGCAATGTCTGTTACTAGAGCTGTTTCATACAGTGGAAGAGGCCAGTAGCTCTGCTGCTCTGTGAAAACAGCTGATCTAGCTTCCGTCACATCTACAGGCTGGTGGAATACACTCAATTGAACTGGACCCTGCAAACAGGTATATGTGTTAAATTAGTCTTGAATAGTAAAAACAAGATTTAGAATCAATATTCCTTGCAGAAAATACTTCTAAGACATTATACAATGCTTATTACTGTTTCACCATGAAGTGATTTACTGTAACTTACTTTTCTGAAGAAGCAATCACACATTGGTGTTATGAGGGTCATCAACTGAGAATTTAAATGTTTCATCTGCTTTGAGGTTTTCTTAATTTCAATTTCATAAATAAGTATACATTATTACTCTTCCTACCTTCAATCTAATAGAAGATGACTCAACAGGAAGTTGGATAAGAGCAGTTTTGCCTTTAGGGCGTTGACGGGCGACCTGCCACATACCAGTCAACTTGGGCTCCGGCAGCGGTAGTCTGACAAGTCAGGAAGATCAAGGTAAGTCAAACAAGCGTGATACTGGTATATCATTTTCTTTATTAGTATTTTTGAAAAACAATGTCTATACTTTATATTTATGAAGTGCGAAAAAAAAAAATGATGCTCTTGCCTTGATTGCCAACAATGTCAGGAACAAACCAATGAATACCATTAATACAGTAATTATTTCGACCTAAACTGAATGATGAGAACCAATGTATTTGCGAGCAGACGAAATGCCTCCCCCCCACACACACACACATCACTACACCGTCTACTAGACACCTCGATCGTGTGAACAATCCATTCTCTGGCGTGTCTATGTGCGCATTATCACCATGTATTAGTGATATAAGTTGTCTTATGTGAGTGTCATATAAAAAACCCTGCATAAAGAGATACTTAATTTCAAGTCATAGCAGACAGGGTTCCTGATAAGAGAGAGGATTGGTGATGGCTCCAGGCAGCAGGGCAGCAGGAGTGAGGTGCTCAAGCCAATTTTTCCTCTCGTTCCTACATATCATCAGTGTCACATTTCAATGACAATCTTAGTACCATTTTTAGTATAATCAAGTGCCGCATTTGAGATATTAACTTTACATATTACAGGGTTCTATGGTACAGTATTTTGAAAGAAAACAGAAAACACAATGTGGACACTCCCCCGACTGACACGCGCACACACACACACACACGCAGAAAGAAAAAACATATTATTTCTGCCAACTCGCCCACACTGTTGAGGTTGATCCAACCCCACATGTTTACGGTCACATGGCCTTTCCTGGCTTCTTGATAAACATGCTGCCGGCTGTAATGGGTTTTATCAGGTCTCCAGCAGTGAAGATGGCCGTGGTTGCCCAGAAGTCCAAGTCCTCTCCCACAAACTGCTCAGGGAACTGTAGTCACCCAACCCAGTGTTGTTCTTTGAACCTTTCCTTGACAGCAGAGACCCTATGGTGGATCTCAATTCCATGGATTCGTCACTTAACTGTCCTTGCTGAAACCTCCAAGTGCAGCCGCTCTGTCATAGCACCACATTGGTGAAAGGATGGTCGCGAATGTCTGCCACAATCCTCACATTGTCTGCCTCTCTGGTCAGTCTAGTGCTGTCTTGATCTGGGAAGATCTGTTAAATTACCAGACTCTTCAAACTGCTGTAACTAACACCCCTGTATGTGTGTGTGTGTGTGTGTGTGTGTGTGTGGTGGGACGTGTGTGGGAGTTCCGTGTTTTTCGTAGAAAACAGGGTCTTTCCAGGATTACCCAGTCTGATTTCTTGGAAATCTGATTCGTGAGTGACTAGTGAGTGTTTTGACCAGTACAATATCTATCTGTGATCCCCCTAAGTAGATATATTTGTCAATTTACTGGTGAATCTATGTGTACGAAATGAGGTGTAGGCCCACCAAGCTCCCCTCAGTGCCGTGGCTTGTAATCTGAGCCCTGTCCACCCCCACCGTCCCACCCCAGCTGACCACACAACTTGACAGTCTCCCTACTGCCAGCTACTCAGCCCTCACTAGCTCCATTATGTCTAAGTTGACTGCTAGTACCAAACATTCAAATTTCATGAAACAACAGCTGACTGATGTGATAATGGATGTCCAACGGACTCTCATACAGGACATCATACAACAAATGAATAAGGAGACCACCAGAAAGCTACAAGAACCTGACCGGCATCTCACTGACCAGCTACCGGTAAGTGAGATCAAAAGAAGCTTGGAATTCTCGCAAAAGGAAATACCCCTGAAAGTGACTTACAAGCAAATTTGAACGTTGAAGTTAAAGAGAACCGAACACTCAAGACCCAAGTTCAACAGCTGAGCGAGGAGAATTCCAAGCTCAAAATGGAACTGACGACAACAGCAGACCGGGTGGATTATGTGGATGACATACGGCAGCGAAACCTCAGGATTGCCGGAGTCGCCGAAGATGCCCAAGTGAACTGGGAGTCTCCCAGCGCAAAATTTCACAGCTGCTGAATGACCATTTTAAACGTCCTGAAGTAAAGTTTGATTGTGTTCAACGCGTCGGGAAACCCAACTCCTCCCGCCCCCGCGACATCATAACAAAATTCTCATCCCCCTCTGACCATGACAAAGTGTTTTATCAACGCAGTAAGCTGAAAGGCACCACTATCTTCGTCAACGAGGACCTCTGCCCAGGTACAACAAAAGCCAGCCTACAGCAAATGGACCAGTTTAAAGAAGCCAGGAAACAAGGGAAACACGTGATGTTCAGTCATAAAACCCTTGTTGTGAGGGATCGGGCAAGTGGACACCTGCCCACTCATCCACCCGCTGTACCAACCCCCTCCCCACTTAATTGGGGTTTCTAACACACGCCATGTGTGTTTGTGCGTGCGTGTCTCTGATGTTGCCACATAACTGGGTTAGCAAAAAGTGCCTGACACAGGACTTTTGGCCGGGACTATACATATATTTCCCTGAGTTAATATCAAATCCAGTTTTAAGAACACAATCCATGGATTTCAGGAATAATGACATAAAACTCCAAAACCTGAGAGAAAAATTACACACATTGAAATATGAATATCGGTATTGTTAATCTTGGTATAACAAGGTTGTTAAACCAAGGTCTTGTGATAAACAAAATTAAAAGGATATTGTATTTTACATAAGCTCACTGAATATATTTATTTACTCAAATTAACTCGGATTAATGGCTCACTGAATATGCCCAACTGGTTGATATGACTAATTATAATACTGTATATCACTGGTTTTTCTCATCTATTATAATTTGTAAATGTAACATACTACTACTACCTTTTATTAAGCATACAACAAATTGATGATTTATAATTTTGAGATCCAAGAGAGTTGGTGGTTCAGTTGTATTCCTGTTTCTCCTTCACTAATGTTCTTTATTTTGCATATCTTTTACATTTATAAACAGTAGACCTTTATGAATTACACTGTCCATAAAATATACTTATACAGTTTGGGAATCTTGAGCTGGCCCTTCCACCAACCCCACTTGAAAATTTTGGGATGACAGTAAGGAAATCCCTAACCATTCAGTTTGAACATTATCTCAAATTTTTTAATCTTTTATCAAAATTGTCAAGATATGCTTACTTTTTTGCTAGATTTACACTATTTGGAGAAGTGCCAACAGGAATACCATGATGGTGCATGACACGGATGAGTGTGTCCTTGGCATCACCCGACCACGTGTCAAAATCCACCACATTACGGATGACACTTGCTACTCCATCATTTGGAAATTCCTGTGGAAACAAACAGGTTAGACATTTTGTTGACAGATTTAAGACATTGGTGTGAATACAGTAAAGGGTATTTGGAGAATATGTAATGAGAAAATGTTACATTTTGGAGATAGAGTAATTCTATGAAAAAACTGTTTAATAAGACCATATTAGTAAAGAAGTGTCTTTTGCTACGTAGATCTTTACAATTTCAGTACGGTATTAGCTTGTATTGGGATCTAAGTTACAACTCTTGCAGGATTACATTCACAATTTTATATTTGCTGCAATTGTTTTTCTAAATCATAATACTGTACAGTAATTCAAAATCTGGTACTGTCCATTTGATTAATTTGTTCTTGTCTAGTTTGTTTCTTATCTATAACCATAAAGGCTCTGTGGAGAGAAAATGTCACTTACTTGAAGGTGTTTAATAATATTGACAACTTCTCTTGTTGAATATGGATACTGAATAAGAGCTTGGTCAGCTAGATCTCTAAGTTCGCTAAATGCTCCCACCAGACGACGCATGATGTCTTCAGGTACATCTGGGCCGTATGAACGTAGGAGAGACATCTCTGATTCCACACTTGGGTTATCAATTGCATGGCAGCTGAAGAGGTCTCCTAAAATATATTAAACAGTTATTCCTATATTACAAGAGCTTGCAGAATTGCATGTACAGTACTGTAGTACCTTAATAAAATACACAACTTTTAAAGGCCATCCATTGTTTCACAATAAGCTTGTATAATGATAACTGTTCTGTATTTCTGTCCAAATCAAGGAACATTAAGGCATCAACTTCAGTCTTCATCACTTAGGATCAACTGTATCTGCACTACATTATATTGTGTATTTAAATATGTACTTGCACTTAAATTTATGAAAAAACCTTTAGAAGTTGAATCTTTTATTGAATTACTTATTTTCTCATTTCAGTGAATTAGTAACAGTGACACTTTACAAAGTAAAGAAAGTGGAACAAAATTTACAATGGGAGTACAGTACTCTGGAGTACTGAGACAAGGTGCAGAGACAATTTACTATGTAAATAACATGTCTTCAAGGTACCCTTTAGCTCCTATTCTCTTCACTGGTAGGGAACTAATAAATATGAGTAAGGTCAGTTGAAGTTTAAACTTTAATTCTGCCAAATTTGTACAAGAATATCAGTCCCTTAGACAGAGGAGGAGAGATGTTGTCAGGGCTGGCCACCCAAGAGTCTTATGGAATCAAGTTCTGGGCTAGAGTATCCTTAAGAGCAACAGGAGAGGAAGCAAAGACCAATAAACCTGAAGAGGAAAGATTTAAATATTTTCTACCCAAGCAAGAGACAATGATAAGTCATTGATGAAGTAATCAAATTTTGAGTGTGATAATTTTTTTTTAGGGGACTAGAGATGGAGAAGTTCTAGAACAAGTATTTTAAGGATGATTTCATAAAGCTATATACTATAGTGTCATGGAAGCTGCAGAAAAGAATAATAATATCTGGTACAGTACTGAGAGGTAGAAAAGTCACTGGTTTAATGAAGATTGAGAGGAAATGAAAGTACTTAAGTGTAATACTGAAGGGAAAACAAATTGCAGAAGACTGAAAAGAATTGCAGGACTTCGAGTACCGTGTACAGGGTTGGGGAAATATGGCATCAGTATAAGGAAGACAAAATAAATATAAGATGCTAGGTTTGACAAGAATAGTTGGATTGAGTTGAGGAATCTGGAAAATTACATTCCAGTAATCCCTGATTCTGTAATTATAAGTACAAAGGAAGCAAGAAAGGTGAATTCTTAGTCATAAAATAGAAAGAGTGGGATGTGAGAAACTCAGTAAGGAATCTTGAAATTAAAAGCTTATAATTAATTTTAAAAATAAATAACAGTACTAAGTGGTGCACACACATGGAAGGCTGGAAGTTTGCAAAATGACTAATATAAACATATTTACGGTAAGCTATATACAGAGAGAGAGACTAAGGAGAAGGCTAGAGGAAAAGTACAAGAATGCTAATCCTTTGTTTATGGGGTTACTTCTGAGCTGAATAAAATAAAATATTAAAAGTGGCTTGTCCATATTGAAGAGGTTAAGGAGTGTTTGTGTAACATCTTGATAGAAGAAACCTACAGAAATGTATTAAATCTCTTATTTGTCAAGAGAGTTGGAAAAGAGCCATCATGATGTACAGTGGAAGATGGCAGATAAAGTAGAGGAGAAAATTCAACAAATTTAATCTTCTCTCAATAATAAATATCATACTGTATTAGTTCTCTTACAGCTTTAGAATTACCTAGTGACCCAAAGAAATCATTGCCAAGGAATGGAAAGCCAGGACGGTTGGCCAGAACAATCATGCGGAAGTCAGGGTGAGAGATGATGATATTCGGAGAGTCTGCTGAAGCCAAGGGGTGAGTGTTGGGCACAATGCGGCGACCATCAGACAGCAACATTTCTCCACTCTCTACCAATGTCTGTAAGAACATGTATTATTGTACCTAAGTTTTTTGACACCCTATACAGTACATTAAAGTTCAGTGAAAAATACATCCACAAATAAAAAAATAAGTCACTGAAGGTATTATATAACACCAAAAACATTTTCATGCTAAACAGGAAACATACCTGGTAAATAAGAATTGAAAATATGATTATCAAATTCAGTTTAAATAGTTTTGCTGTGAACTGCATACCAAATTTCACTTTGGTCTGCAAAATCCTTCTCATATGAATGAATGGAAAGAAACTGTGTCAAAACAGATGGGTAATATAAGTTCCTCATGTTTTACAGCATAAATATTAAAAGTGTTTCATATTTTGGTTAAGTTTTGTGTATTCTAGATCCTCTTACTGTTATATCTAAATTAGCATCTCTTAGAAAAAAGTTTTACAGGTACTTAAATATGTGTTGAGATTGTTAGACAATATCTGATGCAGTTACAGTATTACCTTCAGTACACAGGTAACATGAGTTGGGGCTTTATCAGCTTCATCAACAACCAACACATGACCAGTCTTTACTGCAACTACAAGTGGGGAATCCTCATGCTGAATCCGTCCATCTTGCACTACTGGCTGGATGGTTAAACTCTGTACTGTTGTGTCTCTGAAATAATAGCAAAGTTGAACTATACTGTACTGTTATGTCTCTGGAATGATTACAAAGCTAAATGATATTACCAAGTTTTTCACTGAACATGTTAACAGAAGCAAATTAAATTTCTACTAGATTTTTCCTCAAGTGAGAAATCTTCTTTCCAAAACCTCAGTATTTAATGTTAACTAATTCTGTGTGTCTATTGATTTCACTCAGTTACCATTTACATGAAGATCAACATACATATAAACCCCTTCAATGTAGAAATGCCACTCTTAATATTTTATTTAGCGAATGCCAGATGATTTTATCCAGCACAGAAGGGATCCCATACACAAGTATATATATATATATATATATATATATATATATATATATATATATATATATATATATATATATATATATATATATATATATATATATATATATATATATATATATATATATATATATATATATATATATATATATATATATAGATAGCATGTGTTCCGACTTACGCACATTTCCAACTTAAGAACATCCTCAGGAACGGAACTCGTTCATAACCCGGGGACGCCCTGTACTTGGTCTTCATTCATGATACATGTTCTTCATTTACGGTCTTTGGTTATCATCCCTGTTATCTATTTTCTTCATTCATGATACAATACTTGGTCTTCATTCATGATCTGTTACATGGTGTCTCTTAATCTAAGTCTGTTTCTTAGTCCCATTTTGCTAGCTAAAAATATGAAGGCTAACAATTTAACACTGTATCTAACAACATACCTGTGAAGTTGAATATATTCACGAGGTCGAGACAACAGGTATAGGAACCTGTCAGCTAACTTGTTCTTTCCGACACCCTGGTTACCAACGAGGAGGAGGTGATCACCTAGTAGCCAGTCCTGGAGCATGTTTTCCAACACTGCCACATGCTAGAGCAAGATTATACTGTAAAATCCTCTATTTTTACTAAATCATATTTTCCAACACAAACAACTCTACAATTACTTTTCAATACCAAGTACTAAAAAAAAATAAAAATTATAATTTTTTTCTCAAATTTTCAAGATTTTCCCAGTTATACTTGAGGGCACCTGGAATCAAGAGATACTTACTCCCTTCCTGTTCTGCTGTGGTGTTCCCCTTCCATAACAAAGCTATTAAGATATATACAGTATACTGTACTATGAACCTGCATATTCCCTGGTTTATTCATTAATCAGTTGTCTAAGTGCACAAGTAGCGAAATCAAGCCATCATGTATCGCTCAAAAGTACCGGTAATAAATAACATTGTTAGGAATGTATTTCCATATCAAATACTGTACTATACAGTACGTAGTGTATTCTATAAGAGGCTGATCATATGAGAATATAATATTGAATCAATAAATAGATCTTGTGAATGCAATAATGCCTGGTTCCCCCCGCCCTCCCCTCCCCCACCACCTTGAGCCTGTTTACATACACAGTGTCTTAGCTCTCATACATAGAAGCTCTTGTTAGGCCTACAGTATATCTGATTAGACCACTGAACAGTATTCAGTGAGTAAGTGCTGTTCTATTTATATGCATTTTAAAATTTTACCTATTTCTTAAAATTGTCATTCTACATGCCGTAATTTTACCCATTTCTTAAAACCATCAAGTATTCCCATTAAAGACAATATGTTTTCTACATAAAAAGTTCAAGTAAATGAGTGTAGGTTGTGAGGTGCAGTGCACTGATACGAAATGTATGAAGGTAGGACTCAGACTGAGACACCCACACACAGACGTTCAATCACACATACCAACACACAAATTGTCCAAACTGAAGCTGGATTTTCCAGATTTTTGAAAATATTTCTGGTGAACAGAGGGGCGGTCCGGAGCACCTCAGAGAGTCCGGAGAAAAAAAAAAACGAATTCCATTGTATAGAGGTTCTACTGTACACAAATTACCACTATACAACCAATACCGGTATCCCAAAATATACTACTGTATACTATAAGTATGCAAGGCCTTTATTAAACTCTCCAAAATCTGTTCTCCCCCCAAAAAAATTCGTTAAGGCTGCTTGAAAAAATATGTACAGCAACACAGAAATGGCTATGTTTAAAAAATAATGTTTTTGACAATAAATTATATTAGTCATCTTCAAACTATAAATTATACTGTTTGTCTATTAATATGATTTATGGTTTATGATTTTCAAACAATAAGTGAAACATGAATAAAAATATTTACCTGATGTATGTCAAAGAAGAGAGTATTGGGGACTTTGGTGTTGGTTTCAGGCACGTAGACCTGAGCGTGAGTGTTGCCAATCCTAAGTACACCATCTTCCACTTCACAAATCAGTTCCTGGTTTTCCAAGTTGCTGGTTTTTGTAATGCCTCGATTTTCAAGAGTTGAGTCTAAAGCTTGCTTGGCCAGTGGAGGAAGAAACCTGATAATATTGTTAAAATTTTACTCAACAAAGTAATTTAATCAATGAATGAGAAAATTCTATTACTATAATACAACAGATCAACAAGTAATTTATGATTGCAGTACTGTAATCTTATTGTACTGTATATTCACTCTTTCAAGCCTCTTCTAAGTATTATGCAAGATGATTGGAATCAAGATAAAATACAGAATCTTTTTAATTAAAAATTTCTACTTTAACAGATGTTTTCTACTTGGCAGTCCTCATCAATATCTATCCCCCAAACATCTATCTAGTTTACTCCTGGTACAATATATTCATAAACAGCATCACTGAGCCTTTTGCCACATAATTAAATGCTTCCTGATGGTAATGCAACTGACTTTCAACATATCCAGTTATCTTGCCTCTAAATTTAACACCTACCTTGCAAGGCAGGCCTTATAAACTGCAGAGTGGAGATCAAATGCTGGATAAGCCCTAAATCTTTTTGCTATTCTGATGATCTGTCGTAGGGATAGGGACTCAGCCAATGAACGTAGAGCTGGGTCAGTAGACATTGACAGCTTGGATGCAAGTGTAATGAGTTGTTCCACTGGAGGGCTGCAGTCTCCTACCTACAAAGTTATGGAAAAGGGTAAAAAGATATAAAAATATTTTGCTCAATTCTTCTTACTAGAGAAAAAGTCCTTTGAAGTTTCTGTAGCACACCCCAGTAATTATCTTCCACATTTCAGTGATTAGTTATCTCTGTACCATCACGTGTCACATTCAACAGTAGTTCTTCATAAAGAGTAAATGTTAAATATTTCCAAACATTGCTCTGGCTGTCTAAAGAATGTTAATTCTTCTTACCTGGGGGAAAATGGCAAAATGGATATTAGATTTAGATTACCTTTTTACGTATATAATATGAACTAAACAAACACAACAAAGAGTACCAGGAAAGGTTGACTGAAAAGGATACACAAAAAATGGGAGTAATACAATAACACATAAATATAGGGCCAATAATTGAGGTGATGGTAGACTGCATTTGACCTCACAACCAATGTGGGAATTAATAAGACAGATGAAGATGTTCCATATTTTACAGCATATGAGATGTACAGCCGTATAAGAGGTACCCCCCATTTTAGCAGGAAGTATCTAGGAAAAAACTTTTGTGTGTGGTTTCCTCCTGTAATCTTGGTTTTCTTAAAATAATATACTGTATACAGTACCAGTAAATGTGAGGAATAAATAAAAATAATACCAATAATTGTGTTACAACAAAAAATACTGTACAGTATTGCTAAATCAGTAAATAAAAGCCAATTGAAAGTTCTAACACAGTCGCCACTTACACATATATTCCCTGCTTCACCATAGCAATGAAACTGATTCCCTGTCAAGGCTCCCCTCCCCCCCCACATTGAGCCAGGTAACTAGTGCGCAAAGAAATATATATTACCTTTATGTGTTTGCCCTTAGAACAATAATTTCTTTTACTTTTTTCACATTATGTATGTAGGATGGTGTGTGCCTCTTACCGAGTAAAAATAAATTGAGAAAGTTACGTATATCTACCAGAAAATACGAGCTGAAAGACAACCATAACACCTCATGGCTTGGCTCAGCAGCCTGGTGGTTACAGTGACTAGTCTAACCTGGCTACAATGCTGCCAGCGATGTTAACAAATGCAAATGTGAAAAGAAAGTTATCTGTAAATCTTTATTTCCATCAGGTATTTTTAGATTTAAAAATAATTGTTGCAGGTATGGCATTAATAGACTGTAATGCTTGTAAGAATTTAGAAATGGTTACTGCTTAGCTACCTCTGAAGAGTTGAGTGTCTGCCATACAGATGTTAATTGTCTCAGATTATCATCATCAGTACAGTAGTTATAAAGTTTTATATAATTATTTTTTAATTAATTAAAAATAATAATAATGTGTTTAAGTACGGTAAGCAATAACATATTTTTAATTCTGGAGTTAGGTTAGGTATAATTTGGGCTACTGGAGACAGCAACTGGGGGATTCGTTAGCTTACGGGAGACCGCAGCTTCACATACAGGACGGAGGCTGATTTTTTTAGCCATTTTTCAGATAAAAAAGTGCGTCCTATATGCCGTAAACTACATTCGTATGAATCAAACAAACACTATTCAACTTACCAATTTGTTTACTAGACTGATAGTCTCTTGTGAGCTGAGACGCCTTATGTTGTGATAAAGGAAGAGAGTCAAGGCTTCTGGAGTCAGCCATTGTCCCTGAGCAGCTCCAATTACCGGTGGTTCAGCTAATGCCACAATGCGGAATGATGGATGTATGCGATATATACCCCGAGCAGTCATGTCTGCATGTGACAAGCCATTCTTCTTCTTAATTAAATCAAAGCGATCAGAGTGTAATAATCTAGTGCCATCATAAAGCTGCAGTTCCCGGTCATGAATCAACCTGTTTAAAGTATGACAAAAATTAGTGACAAAACTAATGACTAACAACTGCTGTCTTCCATGACCTTATAATTATAGCCTACCCTTAAAATAAGGATGATTCATGTGTATGAGATGAGGAGGCTGAGAATATGGAAGGTAAAACTGTGAAATTATGATCATCATAATACATTACTAATGATATATTAGTCTAATTCTTTCAACTTCACACATAAACTTCAAGTCTAGAACAGTAATAATATAAGAATTTAAATTCAGAATATTAAAGCACTGAATGACTTCTTCTTTCAAAAAATTAAGATTCAAAGATATATAATAAAAAAAAAAAATGCATGAATCACTACCTATGTAATACAGCCAGTGTTCCATGGTGAAGTCTGTGTATTCCATCCAATATTGCCATTTTGCCCTCTAAGGCAGCATTCACCAGGGGGGAAAACTGCCATGCTGTGTCACCATTAGCTGAGGTCACCCGTTGCTGCACAAGGTCTCGTGAGGTCATATCCTAAGTGAAATAATAAGATTTAGATAATGTTAATGAAAAAATAATAATACTGTATTATCTGGAAAGAAACATATAAATAATAAATGAAATATAACTACTGTACAGTACAATAAACTGGTTGAATGATCCCAAGGCTAAAAATGAAAGCACAAACTTCAAGAGAAAGCACCATCCTGACAACCTGTAGTAGCTAAATGCATCATGATTATGACTTGTACTGCAAATCCCTATTTGTGTCATTTGAGAATTATTCTTAACATTGGCAAAAAACATCATAGCAGGGCCTGAAACATATATTATATCTGGTATACCTCTATCACTTCACATAACCTAGCAGCACTAATCAGTAAATCTGCAAACATGTAATTAAAGTTCTTAAACAAAAGATTAATATCGAATTTGATACTTGTCATTACACAAACACTTCATTTGTTTTTTACATGGCGACAAATGACAAGTCTATTTTATTAAAGCAATACTCATGTCCTAAAAAAAAAAAAGCATATTAATGAAATAAATATCACATCATAAATTTTCTCATTCTTTCACTACATAATGAATAACTTTCTCAACATGTGGCTTTTATCTAAATATTTCATAATCAGCTAAATGATTACGTACTGCAAAGATAAGCAGTCAACAAACCTGGTATACAAGAATTGGCTCAGTCTGATAACCCAACATGTGTGCAATTTTTGAAACAACTGCTGACTTTCCACAACCACGTGGCCCAATGATGCACATGTCCTTAACACTGTGACTCTGAATAATTTCTGTGAGCATTTCATGGTGGTATGGAGTGAATACAAATGGAGGGGGAGGGCTTCCCCAGCTGTTCCCAGAAAATACCTGAAATAAAAAAAAACATTTTCATAATGATACTGTATTACAGACCCTTTTAATTTACTGTGTACCATATTTAAATAGCAATGGCAGATCATTACCAAATATCTTTGCAAGTGAAACAGTGATGAAGTTACATATTTTTAAAAAATAATATTTAATGCCAAGTAAAAGACCTCACTTGAGTAGTCACTTCTTTCCTCTCTACTTGGAGTGTGACCTCAGCAATCCCCTGTGAGTCTGTCAGTGGTTGTGTTTTTCTCACTTCATTGATGCCTGCACTTGTTGAGCTCTTCTGAAATTTACATATACATGAATTACTGTTTGAAGAATGTTTTTACAGTACATTAATCCTATATCATAGATTTTGCAAATTTCTAAACCTAATATACTGTACATATAAATAAATGAATGCAATTTTTTTTATGCCTGTACCAATTCAGTGCTGAATGTAAAGCCAAAGCATACCTCCTTCAGGTCCTAGTACTCATTAAACAAATGCCCCACTCTTTACCACCAACAACAGTACCTCTAGATTCCCTATGCTTGGGACCTGGCTAGATGTAATGTCTCTCCATGATGCTTCCTTAATTTTTCTTGAGTCTTCCTGCTATACAAACCTTTGTATCTTATCCTGTATATATATATATATATATATATATATATATATATATATATATATATATATATATATATATATATATATATATATATATATATATATATATATATATATATATATATATATATATATATATATATATATATATATATATATATATATATACTTATAATTAATTTTTTCTTTTTTTATGAACTTGCTCACTACAGTACAACAAAAGGCATACCTGGAATGGGTTGAAACCAAAAGTTGAAAACAGTTCTTCAACAGATTTATAGGTTTCTTGAGGTAGGAAGGCATGGTAAGGGTACAACCTATTGATCAGTCTTGTAGGCTCAACTTCTGGGTATTTACTCTGAAAGTTATAAAGAGATACAGTACAGTACTGTAGCTTAGGAATGGTATGCTCTTAAATGTACATCAGCAAGCTATTGTAACAGAAATAACAAATTTAAACAATTTATATCAGCTAAATCCCTCTCTAATAAAATGGATTGGGATCAAGTCTGACCTGTTTTACTGTACAGTATTGATATATTTTTTTTGGGGGATAAGAGAAACGGAAGACAGTTCTGTAAAATTATTACAGTATAATAGTTCCTTTCTTTAATACTGTAATACAAAACTGTATATACAGTGAAAAAAGTAAAAGTGGGTTCCATAGGCATGATTGCTGGTTAGGGACAGTCTAGATACAGCACACTGTATAGTATTGTATACTAAGCCTTTGGTATATAAGGAGACAGCATATCCAGTACTACACTCTCCTGCATTCACCCATTTACAACTGGGTGAACTGTGAGCGTCCCGGAATTGAACCAAAAAACCCTGGAACAAGAGGTGAGTGCTGTATCTGTTGAAGTTACAGTGTTCAATTTTGGTGATATCAACGAAATATGATGCGAGAGGCTCAGACAATGACACAAACGATGTTGTTCTTTCCAGTATATTTTGGGACCGTCCGTAAAAAACAAAACAAACATAACCTGCGCAGCAGTGGCGCTTTATTCCACAACTAACACAAAACATAATAGAACATATTCACATAAATATGGGGTAACCTAGTTTATATCTAACAGTATCCACTGGACCATCATGCTCCATGCATATACTGTACAGTGTACAGTTGTAAGATATTCAACAAAAACAGAACACTGTAGTCTAAATATTGGTTAAAAAAAATCTGTCAAAATGCTTTTTCTCTTCAAATAGCAAACTGTGTTTAACTACATCCAGTATAACAGAAATACCAAAAATCATACAAAGAAGCTACAAGAGGAAATTCATAAAGTTGCAAGATGAATGTACAGTAATTTATCCAAGAGACATTTTGGAAAAAATATTTTGTTTGAATGGGATTTTACTGTACCTGTACTGTAATGAAAATGAGTACAGTGCCGGGTCCAGCCCCCAATTTGATTTTGCTTCAGAACTGGGTAGACTATACTCTGTACTGTATAGCCTTTGTACAATATGAGTGACCTTCGTGCACTTGATACTCCTTTGGTTATACTACCAGTATGGAGAGAGCTTCAGTGTGTGAGAAAGAATACAAAACCTACCATAAAATCATTATGTTAGATTAAGTATGGTGAAGTTAGGTTTGCTTGGTTCATGTGTGCTTTCATAACTGTACAGTACAGTAGAGTACTGTATAGTACATGTATTCTGTACAGTATACTGTCGTATTTCATAGCCAGATTATGCATAGTGTACCAGACTCTAGAAAAAATAAACTAAGAGCTGGATCTGGTTCTGTACAACAGTCTTAATAAAAACAAAACAAATTAAAACTTAAATTATGGATAATTTTTGTTACCTACTGTACCAAAAATATAAATATCTGTCCTGAACACAATCACTAATATATTTATACTATTTATATGTAATTCTTGTGCCATCTGTCTTGTGTGTCTAGTACTGTACGTATAGTGTAATAAAAAAAGGTGAAAATAAGTTGAATCTAGGCATTTTTATACTGTACTGTATTGTAGTGTTATACAGTTCTGAGACTAATTCTGTCAAAATCATGTTAAGTAACTGGTACTGTAACTCCCTCTGACCAGCGTCACAGTGATAAATTCCTTGGTGAGTATTCTTTTCCTTGATATGAAACTTCAAATTACTTACACATGACTACTGATATTAACTAATGCAATTCCTCTTTTTTTGTTGGTTTTTGCAATTCAGGAGGATCCTAAATGAGTCATATGAAATGCAATCAAAATGTTTGACAGATAGAAGATTAGTGTAGGACTGATATCACAGAGATGGCATTTACACTTAAAACGTACCAGAATAGTCATAATAGAGGCCAAGTTGTCTATGGGGAAGTCAGGCAATCCAAGACCTTTACACTCCTGGGTGAGGATGGTGTGGGCAAGTGACAGTGTACGTGAGGCTATGTCGTTCGAAACACCTGGGTGATCCTCCAGTAGCTGCTGCAAGTGTTCCTGTGGGAGAAAATGTATGAAAACATGAAGAACAGCAACTAAAGTGACCTTCCTAATTACAGTAATTCAGCATTAAATTAGCTACTATGTATTGGAAACAAACTAATGTAATTTCATGTGGAGTCAACACCTAGGTTTCTTGTCCCCCTCCCCCCTCCCCCCAAAAAATGTCATGTTACATAATTCCAGCCGAGAAACTTTAAAATGTTTGCCCAAAGTTTAACGAAATTCATACTATACATAGTATAGTACCCGGGCCCGGATACTCAAAACTCTGCGTAAGTTAAACACTCGGCAATGTTGTAACCGACCCACGGCATTCAAACTTACAAACTGCTAACAATATTTTAAATCCCCATACTCAAAACTATTTTGCAATGTTGTTAGAGTACTGTAACTCAAATGTAAGCACTGAGAATGAGTCTTCATGCAGGCCAGCAGGCCATTCACAGTTATGTTTTCAAAACATACTGACCAATCACAAACTAAGGATATCAGCTACCTGTGGGCTTGATATTTGTAAACACATTTTAGCTGTGCTGGAAGAGGTGAAAAAGTGGAAGGACAGTTTCTTTGGGATATTGGACAACAAAACACCGTCAAAATGAAAAATAATGCCCGGGACTCAGTTTTGAGTGTGGTGAATTTTGTGCCTCAGGTACTGTACCATGAGATATTGGTGAAGTTTGGAGAAATTTCACTGATTTAAAGATGTCTGTCAAGAAAAAAGCAGCTCAAGCACTTTAGTTAAACTTCTTAACTATTTTTCACAAACTTAAGAAAACTTACTGTATAGTTCACACAAAGATTACTACTAAATTTAAAATAGAAAATATATGTACAGTTTGCAATAAAAAAACTTCATAAACACTACTAAAATATTTGAGAAACTAGTAGCACAATTTCAATAACAAATTATGAAAAGTACAAATATGATAACACTTGGGTGAGTCGGTTCAGCCCACCTTTGACCTCTTTGTTCTCCACCCTAAAAGTGTCTAATTACTCGGTTTCAAAATTACACATTGAGGAAATACTGTATATAGAACCTCAACAATTGTTCATCATTTATGCGAGGGTCAAAAGGGTCATGGTACTTCCATTCAAGCTTGATCATTTAAATATACATCAATCAATTCCATCTTGTCTGATAAAACAAACAGCTGCTGTTTATAAGATCAATTTTAGCTCATTAGAGTTTATCTTAAAATACTATTTTCCACTGAAATAATATATAAAATAAATTTTCTGAAGTATTCTCCGATAAAACAGGTTTAATAAGCCCTTGACATAATTATCAAGAACTTGACACAGGGCACTGGCCTCCTTCACTCGGTGAGGCCAGTTGGCCACCTTTAGTGGGTAGCCATTAGGTATACTGTATAAGGTAAATTATAGCTTGGAAAGCATATACTGTTTATGCAATCTGGAAATATACATGCTATGTCGGGGTTTATTCCGTTACAGGAGCTCCAAAGGTCCTGTAGGAGGGACGGGTCCAGGAGGGGAGCCCTGGGGGTCTGGACCTCCTTTTCATCAGAAAATTACAATACTGTACAGTACTTCTTCAATGCAGTATTGTACTCAGGCGATTTTATACTGTATAGTAAAAGGTAATTCTTTGGCTGAGTGCAAAAAGAGCCAATGTCAAAAAATGCCAATTTAGACTTCTCTTTTTGCACTCAGCCAGAGAATCAGTGAATTACTATTGACCTCAGAATACCTCCTATTATCAAGTGCAAATGGCTTCAAAGTGGCCTCAAAATGCCCATAATATTGGTCAAATAACAAAAAAAATTCTGGGGGCTTATACCTCTGCAAAAAAAAACAACATCCGGGTGGGCTTGCTGTGCTCGCCACGTTTCCCCGCCCACAATTTCTTGGATCCCCTCCTTTTGATATCCTTGGATTTGCTCCTGTGTAGTGTTACTGTAATTTACGGCCTCCAAATGCAAAGTGACATCACAATATGGCGGACATTTTGATTTGAGTATCGTAATAGAAAAGACTTACTTTAGATCAATTGAGGTTTGAATTACAGAGTCAACTGGGAGATACAATATTGTAGATATTGGTCCACAGCCTATAAAAAACATGGTTACACATACGATACACTTAGGGCAAGAGAGGCAAATCAAACAACTTAGAACCAAACTGATGCAAAATAATGAAACATAATATAAAATAAAATTAAATTGTCTATTATTTGTGACTTGTTTCATTCATTTTGGATGGTGGGTTACTGATACGACACACAATTTAATGGGCCTGAAACAAAATCGCTCATATCTCGAAACATGATTTTTGTTGATTCGCCCTCTTACCTCCATGGCCTCATATATTCCCCTAAAGTTCCCCATTTCCCCTCTATTAGTGTACACGAATGACCCTTAGAGTGACAGAGTGGAGCAATACTTTCAGTAAAGTAATAATAAGGGCCACTCCATCCAATCATCCATCAACCCCGTCTTTGTGTGCTCACCGTGACTTAGCGGTAGCTATTTACATGGTCATTATCATTGTAATTGGAGGACGTAATTGTTTAGTTATGGTGTAATTGTGGAATATTCCTGGCGTGGCAGAGAGGGAGGCACTGCGGGACGTGCGGTAAAATAGTCCAGCCTGCAACCTGACCCACCATCACTCTCTCCAGTCAACCACCCTTATTAACACTCACGAATATTGACCACCGCACCCACTTGGTCCCTGCCTTATTAAGACACTAAGAAATATTGACCCCCGGGCTAATTGACGTAAATGACGTAGGCAGGTAGAGGGGTCGGGCCAGAGCACGTGATGGTGTGAGAGACGCTGCCTTGATCATCTCAGTAATGGCCACAGAAAGATCCTTTGTTGCCTTGGGGTGTTGCAGCCGTCACGTCATGCTTTCCTTCTGTGCATCCGTCCGTGGGTTATGAAAACGGTAATTTAAAATATAAATGTTAACCAAACTTGGTATGTCTCATACCAACGGGTCACACAGGTTTAATGTTTAGTACTTTGTCACCACTGTTTAGTTATTGCCAATTATGACATCTTATCTTCTATATCCACCTATCTTTCATCTTTTCCCCCCTCCCGTATAAGCTTAAATGTGAAAAATCAGAAGAAAAATAAACCTTAAAATAGAGGAGATAATTGCACAAAAAACTCTTCAACAAATGTGTTTATCAAATATATACAGTATGCCCCAACCATTTGGTTTAATACCCACTGTGGCCCTTGACCCAGATATCCAAATGATAATCACTGCAGAACTCCGTAGGCCTATATTGTGGTATAGATATGGTCAACACCCTTTCTACCAGTTTTCAGATAATAAAAATATAGAGGTGTTTAGTATCATCTTAGGACACACCCCCTTGTGTCTTTGGCCCTTGGCCCTTGACCCCCAAAAAGTGACTGAATTGTGGAACTTTGTAAATATTACCTGGAAAAACAAGGCTCGCACCTTATGCAGTGGTACGTAATTACAAATGAACGTAAGTAAAATCTATACAAAGAAACAAAAGTAAAAATAAGCAAAGTAACATATAGGTATGTACACACTTATATAAATACACACCAACAGTACCAACGTGCATCCTCACACCCATACACACACACACACAGATGTAACATGTACTGATGCAATACACATATACAGTACAGTACAGTAATTATACATTCACACACAAATATTATAATTAAACACAGCCTATACAAATATACACATACAAAGAAACACATGAATACATAGAAACACAAGCACAAATAATATACAGTACATTTAAAAATAAACAAACAAACAAACGTACACAACACAGACAGAGCAGGAATCAGTTTGTGGTAAGCTTGGCCTTCAGGTGATGCGAGGCGTCGTCAGCAATTTTCGTAAAAGGATCCAGCGGCGGCTGTCGTGAATGGCAGTGTTGATTTATGAGAAATATTAGTGCATCGTCCCGCTAACTAACTCTTCTTAATTTATCAAAGCGCGTGGTCAGCTCGTGGCCCTTGTTAGCCCCTCTCAACCAAATTAAAGCTGACACAGTCGGTCTGTCCGTTTTGTGTCTCTCCGCCCTATAGGAAGCAAGGTAGGTAGACACTATCTACCTACCCTGATAGGAAGGACATCCAGGACTAAGATATTCATATTTGTCGTGGATATCACACTCAGAGGTACCAAAGATCAAGGTCATATATGAGAATAAAAAAAAAAACACACACACACACACACACATATATATATATATATATATATATATATATATATATATATATATATATATATATATATATATATATATATATATATATATATATATATATATATATATATATATAATAAAGATCCTGCGGTCTAGTAGTTTCTTCAGCGCGAACAGACGATTAACCTTCGTGAGGATGCAGTCATTCTTTTGTTAAACATACAATGTCTCATCCTAGCTAAATATTAATCAGAATTAAAGCACTCGAGCTGTTAATTAAACAAATGAAGGTCGGGCCTTGGTTGGTAGCAGCGGCCAGGCATTACCATTAGGGGCGAGGTATTCACGATTGTACTGCCGCTCTGGTTCACTAAACGTAATAACATATATCAGTATGTCGTAACCCCAGTCATGTTACGCCTGAGTGATATTACTACCACACGTGACATCCTTTCATTACGCTTTAGAAAAAACATCTTATGCCAACCGTTAGTGAGTGGCGGTAATTGTTGTTTTTGTTGGTAGGGTGAATGGACGTTGTAGTAGTAGTAGTAGTAGTTGTTGTTGGTGGAGGTAGTAGTAGTTGTTATTGTTGGTAGAGCGAATGGACGTTGTTGTCGTTGTGGTGGTAGTGGTGGTGGAGGAGGTAGTGGTTGTGGTAGTAGTAGTAGCTTCCGTAGTAGTAGTAGTGGTAGTAGTAGTAGTAGTAGTAGTAGTAGTAGTAGTAGTAGTAGTAGTAGTGCCATTGCTCACGCATAAGTACGGTTGGCCAGTAGATGGTTTGCCCTCCCAATGCGTGTGTATTCTATGATG